GCTCAGGGAGCAGACACAGTACGATGGGATCAGAGCATCCTGGGGCTCCCCAGGCAGTCAAAAGGGCTCTTGAGGGAAGGGTGGGATCCCACAGCATCCCTTGGCACTGCCTCCCCACTCAAATGACTTCGTTCCTGCTTGGAGAACACCGACCACATCCCCATCAGACACAGGGGCTCTGGCTGAACCAGGGACTGGCTCCAGCTCCAGCTCCGGCTCCAGCTGCACTCGCTTGTGCAGCAGTTTATAGTAGCAGCTCCTTGGGGGAAAGTGCACAGAGAGGTTTCTTGTGATCAAACCTGTCATTGCTTCTCCTCTTACTTTTTAAATGGTATTTATTGTCTCCTGGGTTCTGCTGCTTTCACTGCATGCGTGTTAGTGCACCTGAGGCTGTAACAGTCCCACGCTGATGGGCAGTCTGTAGGGGCTTTAGCTGCATTCCAGGGAACTTTCTTTAACATCCCATCAGTGTTATCCCATTTCTCTTTATTGGTATGAAAGTGGAGGCCCTGGACCATGACAGGGACATTCTCTCCACTGGACTGCTCAGATGAGCAGAAGCATCAGTTCTCAAAGCTTTCCCTTTGGGGAAGCACATCTTATAGGGAAGGGCTCTCCTTCGGGACCTGCTGAGGGCCATCCTGTAGGATCTAGACACTAGATCATGTGTACTGGTCCTGATGGGCCTGCTTGCTAATACTGCCCCAAAACAGGACAACTCATCATGTCCCAGCCAGCCTTGCTGCTCAGCAAGAAGGAATCCATTATTTTGCAGTCTCACGTTGTAACCTCAGAGTGAGAAGCACATAAACCACAGTGTCTGGGCAGGACCGGTCCATGAGGCAGAGGCAGGAGCTCTCGCATCCCCGGAGGAGCTCAGGCTTGCTCCATCCTCAGCAAGAGCTATTTCAAACCAGGTATTTCTCCCAGGATGTCGCATGGAAAGAGACTGTCAGAAAGCTGTCTAAATGTGTTAACAACACTGTCAGCGGGGGAGAGGAAAGTGTTATCAGAAATGGTTGCTCTTCAAAGCTAAGGAACTCGGTGATTTTAGGAGGAGTAAAAGATAAGAGATCACACCAGGCACTGAGGGCTCTTGGAGTTTTCTTTCTGAGAATGAAGCTGTTTGTTTTGTTAAAAAGAGGAATTGGGGAGAAAGGGAAAACCTAAAATACTCGGGCTTTCTTGACTTAGCTTTTCACAACCCTAAAAATAACTCAGAGTGCCTCCATCCTGCGCAGCCGCTGCTCGGGATCAGCCGCAGCACTGGGAAAGGATTCCCATCCCATTGACCAGCCTCCCTCCTGGGGTCATTCCAAGGGTTTTCCAGTGTTACCTCCAGAAGATGAGAGGAGCGTAGCACAGCTTTGATGCAGACAAACCTGGCCATGTTCTGATTGCCATCAGGGGGATTTGGGGTGTTTTGTGGCATCCAGGTTCTACCCTGAACAGCGAGGCTAATGGTCAGAGAATCATAGTTTGGGTCTAGATATAATAGAGAGTTTCAGGTGCTTGCTTTGGAGTCTCATTCAGAATGTTTAAACCTCCCCACCTCAGCAGTAACGTCAGTGGTCATCAAATAAAACAGCATAAAATATGAAGATATGAAGCTGATTCTACTTAGTGTGTTTTCCCATAGGCTGACTGGTATTCCCTGGAGAGCCATTAGCCTGCTTTAAAGGGGAAGAAAAATGAATCATTATTTAACCTGACTGATGATTTGTATTTAAAATCCAAGGAGTCAGATGTAATAACAGGCAACTCCACCAAAGGTACTTACAATAAGGGATAACAACTGATAACATTTGAGTCCATCCTGCCTTGAGAAGATACTGACAGTTTGTGCTGAGGCATCTCCTACAAGCTGGCTCCCTGACCTGGACCACACTGCACTAAAACCATACAAACCTGGCCTAAAGAGAAGGTTTTCAGGGTAAAACACATGCAAACAAACTCAACCTGAAGCTGATAAACCTCAGTGTGTGGTGGAGGTGTGGTGTCGCAGCAGGGAGTCTGTGGGCTGTATTAACTGGTCAAGGAAACAGCTCAGTCCTTTCCTGGATAAATCAGGCAGTGAATGCTCTCCTGAACCTCAGGAGGATGTTACAAAGCGTGACAGAGCTCACACAGCCGTGTTCTGCCTATCTGCAAAGCTATGGGAGGTAAGGAGAGAAGGGAAGGGAAGCTGGGACCTGAACGGATGGGGCAATACTGGGAAAGGGTCCTTAGCACCAGGTCAGGTGAGCAGCAGCCGTTCATCTCCAAGAGCTCCCAAATAACTGCAAGAACAGGGTAGAGGCAGAAGTGGTTCAGAGACAGAGCAACACTAAGGGACCTTCAGTTTTATTAGATCAGACTAAACTTGTTTATAGGTAGTATATAAAAGAGGAAAGTGTTTTGTTGTTGACTTTTTATTGCCCATTGGCTTTCTCTGCTTTTCTAAGCATAAAGTTACAGTGAGGCTCCTGTCACAGGACCCACAGGCAATCACTCCCCTGAGGAGCACAGGGAGAGCCAACCAACCCTGTGTGTCCCATTGCATCGCTCCACCTTTGCAGTGGAGGGTTGCAGGAGACGCATCAGCCGGCCCATGTCACATCCCTCAGCCTCCCAATGGCACAAGCTGATGTTCTCCATTTTGCTCCAATGGAAAAGCTGCACCAATTATTTTCATAATTAGGTGGCTTTTCAAATTAATGCCAGTTCTGCTATGTAATCATGATGAAGATTATGCATTAATCAGCTGTTCCAAGCTGGTTATTAGGCTCTTTAAATAATGATGGGAATGAACATCTCAGGAGGAGAGGCGCACAAGCCAGAGGGATGGCAGCGTGGGATATCCAGGAGCAGGGAGCTGCTGCTGACGGGATGGGGCTGTGCAGATCTGCCCTCAGGAGCAATCCTCAGCACCACTGGCAACGGCAGTGGACTGTCCCCATGTATCCAGCACCCAGCCATAGAACCAGAAAGACATTACTCCTGCCTGTCTGCTTTCTCATTGCCTGCCACTAAATTCAAGGTATTGGGTGGCTGCACAGAAAATTCTTTTCTGTCCAAAAGTCCATTATATCCAGTTGGATGTCTGGAATGGGAATTTATTTGGGATCAAAAACCAATAATTCACATACCCAGTCCTGTATTCTATCATAATAAGGCATGCCCCAAAGCAACCCCGAAAGCTCTGACTAGGAGAAAGCCTAATGTCAGCTAGTTGGTAATCAATGTGTTATGAACTCCGTTATCACTTCAGGATGATACTAGAGAGCAAAATATCCCTTGTTAAAATGTTCTGGATGGTGAAGCTTTGACCAGAAAGATGGGGATGAATCTCATGCTCACTTTAGTTCTGTTTATTGTTTCTGCTATAATACTGTGTATGAACTTTCTCTGCCCTAAGAAACTTAGACTGAGCTACCAGTATGTGCAAACTGGGATATGGATGAATAATTCAGTGACAAGGAGGCACTTGGACCATTCTGCTTGGCTCCTGCCTGCACTGCCAGGCATTATAGATTGAAAACCTGGCCAGAAGTGATTTGCTGAGGATTGCATGGGGATGAAACATGGATGAAACATGTCCTCAGGTTGAGCATTCAGCCTCGTTGTCTTTATTCTTCCCCATTACCAAAGCTAGAACTGAGATCCTTATTTTTTCCTACCAGGGACATGCAGTGAACAGCTCAAACGTTTTGGGTGTTTATGAATGTAAATTGATCACCATGATCAATTCACAATGGGGACACAGACACAAAGTGTGCAGAGGAAAAGGAGGGAAGGGACTCGCAGGGAAGTCAGAGGCCTCTGCAGCCTCCTTAGCAGCCTGGCTGGGGAAACCTCAAGGCATTGCTAATGTGCTTTGCTCAGCCCATGGCTCGGTTGGGTCCCCAGGAGGATGCACAGAGCATGGCTTGGCTCTTGCCAAATTGGCACTGCTGGCTAACACCAAAGTGTCACCAAAACTACAGATTACACCTTCTGGCTCCTAGAGGAAGATCTATGCAGTTGCTGGGAGAACCAAGCAGACATCTGCTGTCTGTAACAAAACATCTTAGGACTACCTTAAATTGAATAGGAAGCTTTTCCTTCTGCTAATGAACCCAGAGACCATCTGTTACCAATTGCACTTGCTTATCTCGCTCATCCGTTAATCATTTTAGTTTATTTTTTAATAAGATAGAGCAAGGTTTGTGTGTCATTCCGTGGTTCTGGAAGGGGCACAGGATGGTGCCTGCATCTCGGGGACAATTGCATAACTTATGCCTGCACAGAGTCACTGCAATCAGTGGTTCTCAGTGGGGAGCTGAGGACAAGACTCCCAGACACAGAGCCAAGAAACCCAGTGATGCTGTGACATGAGCTCCTTGCCCTTGGGGAGGTGTAATGGCATTAACAACTCCTGAACACGGGAAAGCATGCGTTCAAGTTGTGCATTATTGAGCAGATAAGCTTTAGGGGAGGCAAATTCCAAAGTCTCTGCATGCCTGAATTAAGAAGTGGGATAACTAAACATGAGGAACAATAAAACATGAGAAGGGCACTAAAAATGGCACTAAAAATAGCAAGGAGCCATGTTGCACTGCCTGCCTCCTGCATGGGGACGTGGGCAAGGCAGGGCAGCACCAGCTCTGTACCACTGTAACTCCATAGAGCACAAACCTGGAGCATCCCTGGAGCTGAGCAAGAAGCCTGTCCACACTTCCCAAGGTCTGGTCCTACAGTTTAATGGGAAGCCCCCCATCTGTCTCATAGGAATTTTCCAAGCCTTTAAATTTGTCCCTTCTTGCCCTACGAAGCTGGCACTCGGAACGCATCCATGGACCAGCGTGTAACAAACCCCAAATGTTTGCATGTCTTCATTTCAATCCAGGAAATGTCCTGGAGCAAAACCTTGCTCAGCCTGCAGATGTCACAGCTCTCTCTAAGGGTTTTCTTGCCCTTGCTATGTAACGTTATGAACTGCACTTTATGTGGCTGAAAGTTGGGTTTGCCTTGTCTTTCAGGAGGAATCTTTGAGTACGCCGATGGCCCCAATACCCAGGTTATGAGTGCTGAGGAACAAGCCTTCCGATTTTCTGCCAATATCATTAACAGGAACAGAACTTTGTTGCCTAACACAACACTGACCTATGACATTCAGAGGATACACTTCCACGACAGCTTTGAAGCAACCAAGAAAGGTAAGAGCACAGCACACTCCTCAGCAGCCTTGTGGCCATTAATTGAGCAGAAAACCAGGCACAGCTTCACTTGAGACCCAGCAGCTCATTTTGTCCTGCTCTACTCAGTGCTCTGGATCAGGAGTCCTCCAGGAGCTGACCTTCCAGGGGCAATTTAATATAAGGGGGACAACTACTCTCTTTTTCCCCCTGCACACCTCACATTCAGTATTTGCTTCTAATACTGAGCAAAGGGCTGTAGGCGATGCCTTTATTTGTTCCTGTATCCCTGGCAGTTTTAACATCCACAGCGTAGATATTCTGTTCTCTTCCTAAAAGCCATGTTTTATGCTCAGGTAAGAGCCGCCCACTTAAATTATTGAAGGGGAGGGAAGAAATGGGACTACACAGCAAAGGCTGCGGGGTGATGACCTGAAGGCTGAGTGTGCTTCTGTACGGGGAGAAACAGAACCTGCTGCCAGAGCTCCTGGCTGCAAGAGGGGCATCACTGGGGAGAGGGAATGTTGGAGTTCACTGACCCTGTCTTGGCCCTGTTTAAGATTCATAGAACCCCAGCCTGGTTTGGGTTGGAAGGGACCTTAAAGCTCCTCCAGCTCCACGAGCAGGGACCCCTTCCACTGGAGCAGCTTGCTCCAAGCCCCTGTGTCCAACCTGGCCTTGAGCACTGCCAGGGATGGGGCAGCCACAGCTTCTCTGGGCACCCTGTGCCAGCGCCTCAGCACCCTCACAGGGGAGAGCTTCTGCCTAAGAGCTCAGCTCAGTCTATGGAAAACATTATTTAGTAGGAAAAAATAAAATCAATGGGAAAAAGCATTTGTTAGAGGGAATCTGCTCATCTCTGGGTATTTCTTTGACCCCTCTGGAGGCTCAGCCATTTCTAACACAGCAGAGCTGTTATCCCCTCCTCTGTGCTTCTAACCACTAGTCCAGACCCCACTGCCTCAATTCCTCCTCTCCCACTCTCTGCCTCTGGTCACTGCTGCAAGTACCTAACATCTCTGCTGCTGTTAGTGCCCAGAAGCTTGTTTGTCTGCCCACTGCTCCATGGGCCAGGCCAGGAGAAGCTTTCTGTGCCCCCATGGATGCTCTGATGCTCACCCCTCCTGCAGAGGTGCCTTGTGCTTTCCTGACAGCATCTCTCCTTCCTTTTCCAGCCTGTGACCAGCTCGCTCTGGGGGTCGTAGCAATATTTGGACCTTCCCAAGGCTCCTGTACCAATGCCGTCCAGTCTATCTGCAATGCCCTGGAAGTCCCCCACATACAGCTTCGATGGAAGCATCACCCTTTGGATAACAAGGACACTTTCTATGTCAACCTTTATCCTGACTATGCTTCCCTTAGCCATGCCATCCTGGACCTCGTGCAGTATTTGAAATGGAGGTCAGCCACTGTGGTTTATGATGACAGCACAGGTAGGTGAAGGAAGGAGCAATCCAGGGCATTTGTTGTTGTGGGTCTCATTTAGGAACGTTTGGAATGAAACCTTCTAGGAGCAAAATGACGTGCAGCGAGGGGTGCATGGGGACATGCTGGCTCCCAAGCACTCCCTTGAGTGTTGCAGAAGGCTCTGGGATCCTTTCTGAAGCATTCCATTCACAAAGAGCTTAGGATGTGGGTAACCCTCAGCACACCCCAGCTGACAAAGGGGAGGATTAACTGTCCTCTTGGGTGATCTGGCTCAGCTCGGCTCTGTTTGCCACCACGGTGCCCATCTATAGAAGCAAAGAGCCTGGTCTATGGCTCCCACTGAGGGTGCAGTTTCCCACCTAGAAGCAAAAGCAGTTCAGGGAAGTCGCTTTGTTTCCTGGCTAATTCCATAAAGCAGAGCTGACAAAGTTTCGCACATAAAGCAAGCTGCTGATGGTTAAACAAAGCAAAGGGCTGCACAGCACTGCAGAGGAAAAAAACCCAAACAAAAGACACATTGGATAGCTTGTCCAACCTAATTCCACTAAACCAAATGGTTTCTTTAGGGGAGGGCTGATGAGAACACAGTTTGACATTCCTGTTTTGCGAATGTGGGTCACAGTATGTTCCCTTCGTGGCATATTCTTAAGTATCTCTTCTATTATGCAGAGGGACATGTTTCTCTTTTCCTCCTCACAATAGGCATCTGCTTAATTTCTTCGTGCAACATTAGATACCAATAATTCCTGCTCAGCTGCATCCAGCATCACTTTGTACCCTCTGCATAAGAAAGAAATGATTTCTAATGGTAGTAAGGAAGTTACAAGTTATGAACTCTGATATTCATAAACTAAGCACGTTATTTTTCCTCTTTTGCTCTTGTGCCCAGTAAATACTGCAGATTTTAACTTGTTTTATAGCTGATTATCATCTTCAGTCCTTGCTCAACGGCACACTGGCTTAAGAAAATATGCCATGAACCCAGAGATGCCAAAGGTTAGGACCAATCTGTTGTTCTCTTCCTGCTTCGTGCAAAGTCTTTAGCTCTACCATAGCTGGATGCAGGGAGAAACACCAATGAAAGCCATTCTGCCTTAGAACAGCTGCTCTGGGAATATCAGGGGGTTTAATGACTAATCCATGACAATTTGTCTTGGATACACCTTTTACAACGGCCATTTGAGGGAGGGAGGAAAGTCTTGATCACATTCCATACAATACTATAGGAAGGAATAACGTGCTAGGATAGCCAGCCTGCAGGGCACGGGCAGCCTCTCCTGTAACACTGTGGGTTTGTCTCTGTGCAACGCTCGAAGGCCTTATCCGGCTGCAGGAGCTCATCATGGCCCCATCGAGGTACAACATCCGCCTCAAGATCCGCCAGCTCCCGCTGGACACGGACGATGCGCGCCCGCTCCTGAAGGAGATGAAGCGGGGCCGGGAATTCCGCATCATCTTCGACTGCAGCCACCTGATGGCAGCTCAGATCCTCAAGCAGGTGAGTGGGGGCGAAGGGGGAGAGGCAGAAGTGGCACTGAGGGGCCCATGCTAAGGGTGGCTGTAATGCAGGGCAGCCCCACTGGTAGAGGTGCAAACCTGCAGCTTCCCCTCAGCCCGCAGTCCTCAGCCACGCTGAAGGTTACAACACGGACATTCTTCAAGGATGCTATTGGATTGCTACCGGCTGCTTCTGTCACTCTTCATTTAGCCCTGTACAAGCTTTTCATGTTTGCAATTTTAAAGATCCTCTTTCCTTTCCATGTTGCTCATGCCCCAGGTTGCATTCATGCAGAGGAGCAAGGCATGGATCCGGTTTCCATCATTCCTTCCCAGTCCTGCGCCTTGCTGCAAGCAGCCAGGACAGGGCCAGCCAGGCAGTAACAGCATCCTTGGTCCCTTCACGAGCACCATGTGCAGTTCTTGGACTTTAAGCCAGATGTCAGTGATTTTCCATTCATTCTCCCCACGTTCCTCCACTGGCATTTTCCATGGGCCAGGCGCTTTGCTGCTCCCCCCAGCTCCTCATTTCCAAGTGCCTTTAGGTTTCAGGGTCAATATTGAGGCAGAGAAAAACGCTCTCACAAAGGATGCTAAAAACCAGTCGCTGGAAGAAATGTTGCTCCTATCAGCCCAGCAAGACACTACCACATAGATTAACTAAATCCCCTGAAGGGCTGAGAAAGCAAGAACATGGAAAGAGACTTCTTCTGCAGCCTTCTTGATGCAGAATGAAGGGAAGTGCTCAAAGAAATCAGAAAGCCTGGGAGGGATTGTTAAAGCAAGCAATATAAGGGACTCATTGTCTCCTGCCTATTATTTTAACATGCTGCCTGTGTTTGATGCTGTTCACTTATTATGCAGTTTATTATAGTTTATTGTGCCATCTGCTCTGCTCATCGCTGCGAGTGCAGCCTGAGGAAGATGGAGGAGAGGGGGGACTAAGGGGGAAGGAGCCTTTCGAAGTCCTTCTGGCTGATTTTGTGTGTGTGCTGGGGTTTTGTAGGGCCCAAAGCCATGGATTTCAGCTTAGCAATATTACATAGCGTGTCTTTACTAAGGGAGAAAGTGTAAACGTTCCCAGAGCTCAGGAAGCTGCACCAGCCCAACGCATACCCTGAGTGGCCTCTGCACACTTACTCCAGTGTGTGGCAACTGGGTGGCTCTGAGCAGGGCCACCGCATCCCTTGGGTCTCTCCCACTGTTGGCACTCGCACGTGTGGAAGAATCAGGAAGCTCAGAAACCTCATCTGTCCCCACCTTTTCTACCCATAATCAAGGAATGAGTGTCTAGAGGTGGCACCTTCGCTTGTGAAACAGCTTTAGGGAACAGAATGGCTTGGGCAACTACAGCCTGCATTCACTAGGGTAGCTCTGACTAAGCACGCACCATCGTGCCAGTGCAGATCTTGCTCCCAAGTCATTTGAGGTGATTTAAACCACATCTTCCTCCAGCATGTCACTGGTAACTCGGCAGGATTTTTAAGCTGGAGTAGTAAAAAACCCCCACGAATTAGTAATCCATGAATAACAGCACAAGAGCTGGCACAAAGACGTACAGATGACATTGCCACACACTGCTGCAGTCTGGGCTCCTTGGTGTGACTGAGGCATCAAACCACTCAGTGTTCTACCCTCTTGGACAAACAAATCATTGTAGAACCCTATCACAGCACCAGGCCTGCTCTGAGACCTCCCCATCCCACCCCAGCTTCTCTGGCCTTGCCCAGTTTGGGTCACTTGTTAATGCTTTACATCTGTTCTTTGGTTTCTCGGATTCTCTGTTCTCTTTGGCAGCTGTCTCCGAACAGTTGCTGCACTCTGCAGTGCACAGATGTGCCCGTCTTCACTTTAATGGAGCTCCCATTCTCATCCCAGAGATTGCCTGTAGCTTATCCACCAGCTTTATCACTTATTCATTTCCCCACAAACCCACATGTATCCTGCGCACAGGCTGTCAGTACTGGGAAGCCAGAGCCTGCTTCTTACAGCAGCTCTGGACTCCTCATCTACCATTGAAGAGATTCAGAGCCTGAACTGGAATCGCATCATTTCCTCTCCATTGGTTTCACATCATCCAACTGGTGCCGCATGTACTGGTCCCTGCCCCAGCTCTCTGCATCCCAGTGTGCAGGTCAGGAGGGGGCCACACCATCGCCCCACAGATCCCCACCAGGCACGGATAGGGACAGGATGGCTGCAGACATAGCTCTGTAAAAGGTGTTTCCAGGCATGAAATGTAGGGTTAAATCCCACTCTGGAGTTACCATATTCAGGCTTATAACTTAGACCCTTCCCTTTTCCCTTGTTTTTTGACATCTCACTTCTTTTCAAACTGCCACTTCCCTCCTCGGGGCTAAATTCTGCTCCAGTAATTTTAGCAAAATCCCAGGGAATCAAAGGTTTCCTGGAGCGGCTCGGAGCCACTTTCCTATAGAGGAGACCTTAAAGTGCTCTTGCATGTGCTTTGTCCAGAAACCATGTTGAGAGCCACCATCACAGCCCAAACCACGGCAATCTCTGTCCTGTAGCCAGCCACTGCCTCCAAGGTGAACTTCAAGGTTCCCCTCCTGTTGTGTGGGGCTTGGTCAAAGTCACCCATCCAGGTCCCTGCAGCCCTTGATGGTTCTGTGACAACCCTCATGGACCAGCCTGTCCTCCCCAGTGCTCAGCTATGCACATCCCAGCAATCTGCAGCAGCCATCCTTCATGCTGGGACTGGCACATCCACAGCTTGGGCTGGCCAAGAGGGAGGGATGCACACACGGAGCTCTATTGCATGAAGGGACACTGAAGGAGAGGGGATGCGAAGCACCAGCAATACACGTGTGAGGAATAAAAAAGCCATTTAAAGACATGTACTGTGTTTCTGGGTCTGCTCCTGCCACGTTGACCACCTCAGCTCTGTAGAGGTTTATGTTGCATGATTGTTGTTGTACTCTTGTATCCACTCTTATTAACCTCCTTTCCCTACTCTCCTCAAGGCCATGGCGATGGGAATGATGACAGAATACTACCACTTCATCTTCACCACTCTGGTAAAGTACCTAATCCATGCAAACACCTTTTACACTGGCTGCTGAGCTGGATGGAGGCAGTTAGAGCAGCAGGAGCAGGCTGGATGTCCTGTCCTGGGCCTCCTGCATAGGTGCAGGACACTAAAGCAGTGGGATGGGAAAAGCAAGGGGAAGGCTCCTTATTCTGCTCCAGCTTTGCACAGAGGCAGGCTCTGGGTTTATTTCCCCTCCCAGTCATTTTGATGGCGCAGCCCCACAGACAGGCTGTGATGGGGCTGAGTTCTGGTAAGAACTGGGTAGATGTTTCTATGGGCTCATCTGGGTCTGCTTAAGATCCAGGAGCAGCCCTGCTGTGTCCAATAGCTCAGAACTCAGCCTGAGATTAACTCCTCTCTCTTTAACCATGAGCCAGTTCCTCTCCAACTCCAGGAGGCATTGGGGGTTTTGTGCTTCCATTCGGGATGTCATTGTCCAGCAGAGCGTAGAATTCTGTGTGATTTTGGCAATCCAATTTATCTCTTTGCCTTTAGGAACAGAACAGACTAACCCAACCCTCAAAAACTGCAGAATTTATTCCTCAGATGCAAAAGACATTTTAATTACCCCTCTGCCATTATCTATTCCAGGCAGCTTTAAGCATTTCCCAGATAACCTCCTATTAATCAGCCCCAGCTGAGCCTAGAGTACATTTCATGTGTAGGTACAGCCTGGAGGTGGGAAAAGGAGAATTATAATAAATTAATAGATAAGCAATCACAATTAATGCCACTTCCCTGAAATAACAGTTATATCATGGGAAAGATATTTTAATCTGTCATTCCTTAAGGCAATGTTTTCCTAGCTTGCAATGCATGTGCTTCAGCTTCTACAGTACTAGACCCATGGGGTGCTAATGAATTAGTCTATTATGTTATACTGAATGTTTCTAAAAGGTCCCCAGTCAATACTGAGTACGGTGTATCAACACTTGGCATGAAATGCTTCAACATTTTGCTAGGCAGCAAGACTACAGTTCACTGCCTTCAGCATCAAGAGCACCATCAGCCTTTCCTACCAGAGGAGGAGGAGGAACTCGTCTGAGCCTTTGCCTCCTGCAAGCACAGGTTTAGAGCCTGTGAAGTCCCAAGCAGTGAGAACCCCCCAAAACCCAACAGTTACAGGAATTTCTCAGCAGCTTGTAAAAAGGAATCCTTGCATTCACAGGAGTTTCTGCACTGCTGTCATTGATGCTCCCAGATACAGACAGGCAGGAGCAGGAATCGCTTCCCATGCTTTGAGTCAACATAGACAACAATTTCACACCCAGCCTGGCTTCTCCTGACCAGGAGCTGAACCAAACCAGTTTTCCACTGGTGCTGATAATCCCTGGATGGTTTGTGTTGGAGGGAGCTTAAAGCTCACCCAGCTCCAACCCCTGCATGGGCAGGGACCCCTTCCACTGGAGCAGCTTGCTCCAAGCCCCTGTGTCCAACCTGCCCTTGAGCACTGCCAGGGATGGGGCAGCCACAGCTTCTCTGGGCACCCTGTGCCAGCGCCTCAGCACCCTCACAGGGAAGAGCTTCTGCCTAAGAGCTCAGCTCAGTCTCCCCTCGGGCAGGTTCAAGCCATTCCCCTTGCCCTGTCCCTACATCCCTTGTCCCAAGCCCCTCTCCAGGTTTCCTGCAGCCCCTTTAGGCACTGGAGCTGCTCTGAGGTCTCCCCTTCAGGAGCCTTCTCTTCTCCAGGCTGCCCCAGCCCAGCTCTCTCAACCCATCTCCATAGGAGAGCTCTTGCTAAACACAGTGTACCTGAGGCTTACAACACAACACAAGTGTACTCATGCTTGGGTACATCACAGGGTGTTATTCCAATGTGCCTCCCATCACAGCCAATTCAGCTCCTCCCAGCACCAGCAGTCTTAGGAAACCCATGGCCAGACAGGGATCCTCAGTAATCCATAGCAAGGGCATTCCATTATCCACAAGCTGTTTTGCACAGCAGGCCCTTCCCGGCCCCCTGCTTTTCCAGCTTCCACCATGGATGGTCCATGTGGTGAGGATCCAACCTCAGCACCGCACCTATGACTGATGAACCAGAGCTGGGGATTTAAACTGGGGAGGAGCGTGTGTAAGAAAGGGGAAGAGCCTCACAGAAACACCAAGAGCAAAACTGGTAAAGGAAATATGATGGAGGGGAGAATTAATGTGCAGTACAGAAAATAATGAGTGAAAGGGAATATAGATGAGGTGGAAAATAGAGCCAGATGTTTCAATTTGTGGCTATGCGGGAGCAGAAAACCCAGAAGCAACAGCTATGGCAACACCCCCCCCACCTCCCCATGTTCTGACACTCAGCTTGTGTGCTGAGCTGTCCTCTGATTCCAGGATGAGGTTGCAGCTGGGATTTAAACTGGAGCCAAGAAGGGATCTGGTGGGAGGCTGGCTTTTATAGGGGCTTGGAGAAACAAAGGGTCAGGATGGGGAGGGCACCCAATTGTCCACAGCACACAGGCAAAGTGGGGAGTCCCACCAAAAGTCATGAACCCTGAAAAGACCAAGCTATTCCAGTGGGTCAGGCACGGGAGCACTGCACAGCCTCTCATCCGGTGACACCAGCATCTGTCTGGAGTTAAACAACTGGATTTGCCCTTAGCTGCTGGACGGCATTTACAAGTCAACATCCTGGCCTGGGTTTCACCATGCCCTTTAACGAAGTGTGGAGGTTTGTACTTGCAGTTTTGCAGGGGGAAAAGCCCACAGCCAGACAGCAAAACCCCTGAACTGTGCTGGGGGTGTGATTAATGGCCGGGGCCCTGGCTGCACCTGCGGATTAAACCATAGCATCCATCAGCAGCACGCTTGGAGGGGGCAGAGTCAGAGGCCAGGGCTCAAGGAAAAGATCAAACTCCAAAGCTTATTAAAGCAAAACAGCTCTAAGAATTCCTTGCTCTCCCATTGAGAGTGACCGAGTGCTGCATTGGTGATGCTTTGCTGAGGGCACTGCAGTTTAGGATCGGTGCTTTCCCCACTACCCCATTGGTAGAGCAGAGCTTGCTGCTGACTGACACAGCATGGCTGCATCCCACCAGCACAGCCACCTTATACCCAACAGCCACAGCCCCGGAATCCCATTTAAACACATTGGATAACCCCCTGTGAGAACAACGAGCATCAGTCCCATATTCACCCCTACCCTCTATCACAGGGGACAGTGGCGCTTCTTTTCCTTCTCCTCATATTTTTACTACCATTGATCACTTGCAGAATTAACTCAGGATAAGCTCTGATTAAATACATCCCATCCAATAAATGCTTCCTACTAAGGAATCCCCCTCCCAGTGCCATTCTCTCCCACACCCAGGCACGATGCCCCTCGGGTTGGCTGCCCTGGGTTTTTACACCTGCAGCATGCCCTTGCCATGCTCTTTACCCCCAAACTACTCAGACAAGTTGCTTGGCATTGATATTAATCGCTGAACTGAAGTTAATATTTAGACGTGCAGCAGAGCCAAGAGATGCATTAAAGAAGCGCACTCCCAGAGGCCTGTCTCCTGCTGCCTGCCAAGTGATGCTCGTGGGCAGGCTGCCAGCAGGGCTGGGGGGTTTGCATCGGATAAAGGGCACTCTCATTCATTTGCAGACTGTGTAGGCTGGTCGGAATGTCAAGAAACGCATCTCAGTTCCCCTTTGATAGCCGTCTGCAAATTGGCATTCTGCAGTCAGAGCTCCTCCGTCATCTGCAGCACCCCGTGGGCTTCAGCTCTCACAGCAAATCCTCCATGGAAGAGCCCTAGGGAGCTTCAGATACAAAACTCTGCCTGGTCCCCCCCATCCTTGATCACAAGCCGCTTTTTTCACTGTTACAGAGAGTGATGCTGCGTTTCTCCCCACAATTCACTTGCCTTTTTTAAGCACAGAATGAGCTCTTTGGCAGGAGTTTCCCTCTGCTGTGGGTGGGTGAACCTGCACATAACGACACCCAAATTCCACTAACACCTACAAGTCTCTGCAAGCTGAGAGCAACAGACAGGATAATCCACCCCATTCCTGAGGGCACTGCCCTGCCTCCCGCCTTCTGTGGGCTCTGCCTTTGCACTTCCACCCCAGACATGGACCATGCAGAAAAGACAAACCAAACAAAGCTAAGCAAAATGTTTAAACTGGTTTCTCTCTTTTAAGGATCTTTATGCATTAGACCTAGAACCATATCGCTACTCGGGAGTGAACCTGACCGGCTTCCGGATCCTCAACGTCGAGAACCCGCACGTGTCCTCCATCGTCGAGAAGTGGTCCATGGAGCGGCTGCAGTCAGCGCCCAAGGCGGAGCTGGGGCTGCTCGATGGCGTGATGATGGTATGAGCAGTTTAAACACAGCACGGGTGAGGTCTGGGAAGCAGGCTGGAGGGGTAGGGACAGCAGGAGCAATACTGAGGAGCAGAAATGCTCCCATCCCGTTAGATGAGCCACGTAGCCAGAGCCTGTCCCTTGGGGACTAACAGGGCTCCATCATCGCTCCCTGTGGTCCCCACGAGCAGTCTGGACCAGTCAATTCGCTGAGATTGATGCAGGGAGGACGAGCCAAGGCTCTGCCCAGAGCTGGGCTTTGCAGCAGCTTTGATGACTCCTTTTAGGGCCTGATGGCAGCTCTGCTCTGCTGAGTTACTGCTTGGCAGGTACAGCACCTGCTCTCCCATCTGTCTTCCCTACGAGGCTGTCTCCGACCCCTGCAACTGCTGACTGGCTCCTTCCTTCCCTCTCCCTTTAGATCTGCCAGCACCAACCCACAAGTGGCAAAGCCTCCCAGACTTTCACCTTGAAATGGCTCCTCGTATCCTTCCTGTCCTTTCTTGGTCTTAGAGGAGAGCTCCACCATTCTCCTTTAGCCACCTTCTTTTCCACAGTGCTGCCCACAACTGCAGCATCCTATTGCTTCCAACAGGGCTGAGTTCCCCTCATCACTGCCGGATCCTCTTCCCTTACCCCCTTTTCTTCTTCAGAGGGAATCCTGCCTTTCGTTTGTGTTTGGTTCAATCCCAGTGAGACCCTGATCTCAGCTGGGCACCTCAGTATGTGATTCACCATGAAATTGCTTGGACATAAGCTTGCACCTCCTCTCCCCCCAGCCCCAAACTTACAAACCCCATCCTTGCTGCCATAAATCCAAGCCCATGGGATACAGATCGGTGCCTGCTCTTCATGCTCGGGTGCTGAGGGAAGGCAAGGTCATGGGGATGGCTGCCAACACCGGAGGATTTTCTTTGTGGCCATGTCCTGTTAGACATTTGCATCAGACTTTGCAGCATGATTTTGTTTGATCATGTTTTATTAGGCCACTGCTACGCTCGCATCTGGTTTGTAGCTTTGTGAAGCCAGCAAATAATGGATTTTCACTAGGAGGTCTAAGCATACTGAAGTGCGAAATAAATCCAATTCTCTTGATCAGTGTTTGGAGGTGAGATGGCGAATCTCAAATTAAATCTAAACCCATCACATTATATGGAAGGGAAAAAGAGAGCTCTCCCTAGTTCCAGTCACTGGAGTGCAGGGTGATGTTACAGAACCTCCTGATTCCAGTGATAGTTTGGGTCATTTTGGAAAATTCCATGCCCACAGACAAGCCATTTAGCTTCTCTGTGTCCTATTTCCCCATGTCTAAAGTAGTGTGGATAATAGGTTCTCACAGAGGCTTTCTTTACACTCAGACAAAAAAGACTAAACAACAAAATCCTGTTACTATCTCCTACCTTCAGAAATCACTGCCTTCCTCGACACTACAGCAGCAAATGTGCTAGAAATAACCAGAATAGATACACAGAGACATGGACATTTTCACAACCTCTGATTTTAAGACAGAACTATGATCTTTTAGTCTGAGGAGCCACGTAACAGAAAAACATATTTGCCTTGGGCAGAGCTACCTGTTTTGAGGACATGTTTTGCATGAGATGTCAGCTAAGAGGTTTCCACAAGTCTTGTGTTAAAGCACACACATTTACAGCCATCTCATAACCATAGGTTTAGAGCGAGGTGTCCCTGCCCATGGCAGGGGGGTTGGAACTTGATGATCTTAAGGTCCTTTCCAACCATAACTATTCTATGATTCTATAGAATGGGTTGGGTTGGAAAGGACCTTAGAGATCATCTAGATCCCAGTGGAGCTCAGCCCTGCTATTAGACACCAGGAGGTGGGATGCTCAGCATCCCACCCTCGGGTCCACTGAATGTTGGGCTGGGGGTAACTCAAAGGGGGTTCCTGTGACACTCCATGGACCCCCCATTGCTTTGCTGCCCGACTGCCTCCTGGCTCTGGAACCCCAATGCTGTTCCCCTTCACTTTAGACAGACGCTGCCCTGTTGTACGACGCCGTGCACGTGGTCTCCGTGTGCTACCAGCGCGCGCCGCAGATGACGGTGAACTCCCTGCAGTGCCACCGGCACAAGGCCTGGAGGTTCGGCGGCCGCTTCATGAATTTCATCAAAGAGGTAAAACCACGATTTAACAACTCTAATTGCTACCCACTAACACCAAGCAGCCCCGGCAGGAGCAGTGCAGATGCTCAGTGCGCAGGTCCGGATGCTGGGCACATCCAGAGCACAGGGAGGCTTGGCACCTATAAGGTTACAAACACCCTTCCCCTGCCTGGGCAGGTACAAGTGGGTGGAAGCACAGGCAGACCCCAGCCTGCAGGGTGCACCCAGGAAGGATAAATCCTGTCTTTGCCTTCAAAATAACATCCGTGCAGTCACACCAAAGCACCCAAACCAAGCTGAAATCTCCCATGCCATTGCTAAGACTTGCCCTGGCCTCTTCCTGCATCAAGAGCAGCTGGACCACTCTCTTTCAGAGCCCATTTCTTAGCAGAGCAATAGCCATTTGCCTTTTACAGGAACATTTGCTTGGGGTCCACAAAGGGTATTCAGTGCTGCTCAATCCCAGTGGCAAAGCTGGCAGCGCTGTGCATCCCTGCCTGATCAACGGCTTTGGCAGATCGGTGGATTCAGCAAGCAGGGAGCCAGGGGAGCAAGGAAGCAGCTTTATTCCCTCTCTGTTTTCAGTCATTATCATTGCTCTCTGTTCAGCCCATGTAATTGTTTGTTTGCGTCTGGCTTAAGTACACAAGCTGACTCAGAGCACGGGTGTCCAGGAGCAGTGAGCTCACCCAGGGAGCGCAGCACAGGGGGGCTGCAGTGAGAGGTGAATGCCCCCCCATAAGAACCCCTGAGGATGCACCCCTGCATCTGTAGCCCTGGTTTTGCTTTCTTAGGAGCCCTCACATAAGGAATAACAAAGGCAGAGCTGCAGGGGGGTATTGGAAACCCTTATTTACCCTAAGGCTCTTTAAAACTTCTGTGCCTGTGGCTTTACACATGACAAATTCTGAATCAGGCTGCAGTGCTGGATAGATGTTGGACCATGATTAGGCCACATTTAAAAGGCTCATATAAAATCCCCTACACTCTTTTAACAGAAGAGTTGTTCATCACGACTTGTGCTGTGGTAGCACCCACAGACCCAGCGCTTCCTGAACACCGGCACGTAGGGGCAGGGAGAGCCCACCCTGTGTGCTGCACGGAGCACATAGACATATGGGAGGAGGAAGGATGAATGCTTCCCATTGCAGACAGAGAATGAACTTGTTTCCTAATAGGCCCTGAAGATGGTATCTCTCCCTTCTCTGCCTCTCTGCCTCCTTTCTCCTGTTTTGTTCCCGGCTGCACGGAGCCGCTCCAGCTGCCTGCCAAAAGAGAGTGTAAATAATTTGTTTGGTTGGCTCCTGTTGCAAATTACCCTGAGCCTCACACTCCAGTGCCTGCCTGTTGTTTCCCTCCCTGGCACCGTGTCAGCACGTTGCAGGGATAAGCTTCCTCCCTGTTGTAATCAGAACACACAGTAATTGCTCTCTCTAAACTCCTGTAAAGACAAAGCGCAGCACAGAGCGATGCCTCGCCGCAGCCACCTGCGCCCCCAGCCCTGGGCTCCCCAGCAGCATCCCTCTTTGTGCATGCATAGGTCGTGGTCCCACTGTACCGGATCATAGAATCCCAGACTGGTTTGGGTTGGAAGGGACCTTAAAGCTCATCCAGTTCCAAGGGACACCTTCCACTAGAAGTGTGTCCAGGTTGCTCGCTCCCACTGTGAATCCCTGCTTGTTCCCACTTGCCAAGGGGCTGGGACAGTGGCCCTGCCACCCCAAAGAGCCATGGCAATGCCATGCAGCCGATGGATGCTCTCACTCCATCAGCACAGGGCTCAGCATATGGCTGTGGCTGCTCCGGTGGGGAACATTAAACACTCCGTGCTTTCCCTGCTTCCCAAGAGGCTCCACAGGCAAAGCACCTGCATGGCAAAATGAGCAAAACAGCCCAGCCTTCCCCAAAACTCACTGGTGAGGAGGCTGGGAGGAGGCTGTCATTACTGCTCAGGAATTAATGAGGAAGAGCCAGAGGAGCGTGTTTACTGGGAAATATGCCACTCATTCCCCCCTGAGAATACATTACGCCACTTTCATCGCACTGGGATCTTTCAAGCTCCCCCACCCATAAAGGAAACACATTCATCAGCAAGGAGCATGCACTGAGCTGCTATGGAGAAAGAGCCCAAATCCCAGCTCTCCACTGCTGTGATTGCAAAACAGTAAACCAAGCCTGGCACTCCTATGGGAGCATCCTCCTTGGGGCAGATGACTGTAGCACATCCCAGCACTGTCTCTGGGCAGAGCAGGCATCATATACCACACTGTCCCTTAGCACCAGCTCTGCCTGCACAGCTGCTGCCTGCTATCTGGGGGCTCTTTCACCTTCTAAATCAGAGAGATTAGTTCTGGTGATGCTGCAAAGTGTACAGTGGAAAAGAAACAGAATCATAGGATAATCATGGTTGAATCCAATGTAGACATCTTTATCCCCAGTTCCAGCTCAGAGCAGGACAGGCTCCCAAGGCAGACCAGTATCCCCAGGAATGGGGCTTCCCAGCCCCAACAGGCATCTGCCCTGTACTTATAGTGCCAAAACCTGAGCCAGGGGTACAGACACTGCACACACCCACCAGATTCCCACTCCTGTTGCAAAACATCAGAGCCTCCATTGACATGCTCTTAGCCTCTCGTTCTCCACTTCCCACCTGAAAGGAGACGGGGAAGTGTTCAGGACATTTTAGCCTCCACACACCTTGGAAGCATCAGCAGATTCATGCAAAGAAAGGATTATTTATGAACTTGTCCCAGACCCAGGCTCCCTGCAGCCCGGCATTTATCAGTACTACAAGGATAAATGCAGCACACAAGGATGCCATGATAAATGCAAGCAGGTTTCTACTGAGTCATCGTGTCCTGCACCAGCTGGGGAGCACAAAAGGTCCAAACAAAAACTCTAGCAAGGACTGCAAGAGAGTGAGGAAAACTTCCAGCTCCGTCCGCAGCTGAACAGCGATGCGGTGATTATTAATGATGCTCCTTAGGGAGGAAGAACCAGGGTAAGGACTAATTAAAAGAACATCCAATGGAGGGCAAAAGATTCTTTATGATACCAAGTAACAGCCCTGCTCCTTTCTCACCCCTCCACAGGCCCAATGGGAAGGATTAACGGGACGAATTGTCTTCAATAAAACGAGTGGTTTGAGGACAGATTTTGACTTGGATATCATCAGCCTCAAAGAAGACGGCCTTGAAAAGGTAGGCAGGGTTTGTCTGATCTACCTGCGTATGGCTTAGCCTGGTATTCAGGCAGCAGAGGAAAGGGTTGGTGCTTGTCTTGTTTCCAGGTTTGCTGTGTGTAGAAGGCTGTTTGCTTTGTGGGGTTTCTCAGATCCTTTTCCATGCCTCAACCATGACTCACCACCCCGAAGCCAGGCGTGGGATTACAGTGAGGAGCTGCAAGAGCCCTGCGGCACTTTGCTGGGATAGTGGGAGTGGAAGAAACTTCCTGAGCAGCCATTAACCAGTCCCTGCCCACACCAAAGGGGCAGGAACAAAGCCCTTCCCATTGCTGGGCTTGCTTAAAAATGTTGATGTTTCCCTAGGGAGGCAACAGCTCTTGAAAGCATCATCTGAGTGTAATTTCCCACAACAAAAATAGCCTGAGGCTTGGAAATGGCCCCAGCTTATTGCAGCCTGGGTTTTGTGGAAGATGCTTGTGTGGCTCTGTTGATTTCTTCCCTGTGTTATCTAAGGGACAATAAGAGAAACATCAAAGTGCGTTGTTTCCTGCCTGGCTGGAGGGGTCTCATTCAGTCTCCACGTTGGCCTGGCCACCCAGAGGTGACACTGCACAAAGGCTGCAGCCATTGATCCCTCTCATGAGCACAGATCTCCTCTGGGCACAGGGATACAACGCTGATGTGCACGTCTCCTTCTCAGGTGTTCAAGGGGGTTTCATTTCCTTCCCTTCAATTCCATTAAAAAAGGCACTGTGCAAAGCTCTGGAGCTCTTAGAACACAGGCTTCAAGGTGAGATGGGCTCGTTTAAGGCAAAAGAGAGCAGCGAGTGGCTTGCAGTGAGGAAAGCCCTGCACAGAGCGGATCTAACCAGGCTCCTCCAAATAACAGCACATGAGACCATCAAGGACTCCTGGAGCCTGACCCCTTCCGACCTCTTGACCCATTCTGAGTCATAGAAACACAGAACCACAGCATGGTTTGGGTTGAGCGGACCTTAAAGCTCCTCCAGCTCCAACCCCTGCCATGGGCAGGGACCCCTTCCACTGGAGCAGCTTGCTCCAAGCCCCTGTGTCCAACCTGGCCTTGAGCACTGCCAGGGATGGGGCAGTCACAGCTTCTCTGGGCACCCTGTGCCAGCGCCTCAGCACCCTCACAGGGAAGAGCTTCTGCCTAAGAGCTCAGCTCAGTCTCCCCTCCATGCCACCTTTGGCATGGAGACAGGGGACGCGCCAGCCGGGAGCAGGGATAGGGAGTTGTCAATTACCCATGCAGCAAGCATAGTGTGCACAGATAACTTTTCCAGGGAAATAGTGACTCGGGGCAGGTGGGCAGCCCCCAGGGCTGAAGGCAGCAGTTTGATGGGGACATGCAGGGAAGCTCCCTGGGAGCAAACAGCTTCGCTCCCCCATTCCCCTGTTTTACAGCTTGTTTTGCCTTGGCTTTGGAATAAATCCTTGCCACGCTTTCACACCCCAGCGATAGCTCTTTGCATCCTGTAAGGAATCTCAAGGTCACCCCAGCACTCGCTTTCCTGGTGGGTATATTTTGGTGTCAAATACAGTACAAAGCAAACATTTCAAACCAATGCGATGACCTCCAATCTCAGCTGCCATCAAGTGAGATGGAGGCAGGAGAGGAGCAGGGGAAGATGCCACCGTCTCACGAGCACTGAGCAGGAGATGATCCTTCTATCCCTGCTTCTCTTTTTTAACATCCTATTTTGTCTATAGAGTCTAAACCCCAAACTCCACCACATCTTTTTGGGGCACAGCAGCTCCGATGGGCTGTGCTGGTAGCCTAACAGAAACCTGCACAAGTATTGGACACCGTACCAATCTCAATGCTTAAGTACAACCACAATATCTGTCCAACTAATCCTCCTCAGGTGCACTGGAGAACACAGCTCTGTACTGCTGTGGTGTCACACAAAGCCCACAGGAAGCCATCAAACCTCAATGCACGCTCTCTACAGCCACCCAGCTTTTGTCTCCAACAATCCAGAGATTTCACAGCTCCCACTATTATTGTCTGAAAGCTTCTTGTCAGCTCTGGAGGGCTTTGGAAGCATCCGTGTCAGATCTCGGTGGAAGCGGGATGCTGGCAATCCTTAATCCCAAATAACAAACCATCAAACCACAAACAAATCCCACGCGCATTGTGCATTATGTAGAATAGCTCGTGTTTGTTGAGCTTTAGGATTGAACTCCTGATCCTTATACCTCCTGGATGTTCCAGGGATTACAGGAGTATTAACTAAACCTAATTACATGTAGTTGGACTATCTGACTAGCACAGGCCTCTTAATGTATATTTGGCCTTTTTTCTTCCCTTTTTGACTGTTTTAAACTGATTCATTCAGCTTTAAGTGCCACGTATTCAATTTTCCTGCACAAACCTGAGCGCTGTGAGCTGAACCGTGCCTGCAGCGCTCTCACAGGGGCCTCTCAGACCCCATTCTCTTTGCCTGTGCACAGTAATCATCTTTTGACACTGCAGCTGGGGTGTGATCGAAGGAGATGTGGGGATGGCTCAGGTTTTACCTGAAATATTTAAAGCCTTTCACCAAGTTCATGGAAACTCCTGTAGAATTTATGATGTTTTTTTTTGCCAGGCAGCGCTGCTCATTACAAAGTCTCTTTTTGGGGCTGCAGGGAAACCTCACGCTGCTGAAGGGGTTGAAGAATCTTCAAAATAGCAATAAATAAACCATCAGTGTTTCCTGGCGGGTTTGAGCCTTTGGTTTCTCTACTGAGACCGCCTCACAGTTTGACCCTACAGATGGATCGTTCTGTTCCCATTTCCATGCAGGGGCTGTTTTCTCTCACTCCTTCCCAGGTTATGCAGCCACCGTGGTCTGGTTCCAGGTACAAATCCTCCATCCTCCAGCTTTCCTGATGCTTTATCTTGCCGTCACAGTCCTTTAGCCAGTCCTGCCTTCAAAGTTTGCTCTAAAGCCTCCATATCCCTGTGGGGATCAGGGTAACAGGCTTAGAGCTGCCCAGATGACTTCTTGTAAATAGGAACATGTTTTGCTCTTTCTGGATAAAAAGGCTTCTTCAAAGTCCACCCATTTATTAAAATTGACAGCTTGAGAACAAGAGAACACCTCAAATTGATGAGGAACGGTGTGCCTGTGCCCGAGCATGTCTGCTGCTATTCCCTCCTCCAGGACCAAGACCTCCCACTGTGATGGATGTCCCTCAAAGGGATGTGTTAGAGATATCCATCTAGTTTGCCACAGCACAGAGGACAGGAATGGTCCCTATGTGGGGTTTGCAGAGTTGGTCAAGGTCATTTTTAATTCTCCCCACCAATATACTTGGGTGAAAACAAAACAGAAATATAATAGCCTCAGATTTGAGTTTTTCCTTTTTGTTCTGCTTTACCCTTGCCCAGAGCTGACTCCTCAGCACTGTTGGATGGTTTGTTCTACACAAAACCTTTTCAAATTGACTACTCATCCCCTACATTCCAGCCAGAGAATCCCAGCCTGGTTTGGGTTGGAAGGGACCTTAAAGCTCATCCAGTTCCAACCCCTGCCACAGGCAGGGACACCTTCCATTAGAGCAGCTTGTTCCAAGCCCTGTGCAACCTGGCCTTGAATCATGGGCAGTCATGATCTTCTCTCATACATCAGAACGTGGCACAGGGGTTGTTGATTATCCGTGTGCAGTGGGGTAACCTGCAGCTGAAGGGTTAATGCAAATCTCTTGTTTGGGCGAAACAAGATGATCATTTCAGGTTTGCTCCCACCTGCTGTAGATGGCAGAAGCAAGCTCCGCTTCCAGGCCAGCAGGATGCTGACAGCATCCTCATCCATGCTGAGGAGTGTTCACTGGGTGCTCATGGTCCATTTGTTGCTTCATTTCAGGTTGGAGCGTGGAGCCCTTCCGATGGTTTGAACATCACAGAAATCTCCAAAGGACGAGGCCCTAATGTCACAGACTCGCTGAGCAACAGATCCCTCATCGTCACCACGGTCCTGGTAGGACACTGCAAGCCTGTCTTTATCCCTTTCCCCACGACTCTCAGGGATACCCGATCTCTCTGGAGTTCCTGGGGTGTGATAATCACTGCAGCTCAAAGGCCTAATGCAAAACGATGGAGCCAGGAGGAGCCCTGTCCACTGTCTGCCTTTAGTAGGCTCTTTGAGGCAGATTTTCATCTCCTACCCTGCGATGATGCACAAGCTGCATCATGTACAAGGGTGGTACCAGTTCCTATTGACTGTGCCCCTCCTTGGCCTTCCACAGGGGGTATCTCCTGTAAATGGAAATGTACTGAGATCCAAGTTCCTGCCATAACTGCATTTTCATACACTGGCTTCTAAAATAAACCTAAAATACACCCCTAAATGTTATTTGCATTTCCACACCCCTTTGTACCTTTGCACTGCTGTAAACGGCCATAGAAAAGACAGAAAAGGAACCTTTCAAAAGAAAAGCATGAAAGGTTATTTTTTCCCCTTTTGCTCATATTGCAGTGACTTGTTGGAAGAGAAATATTACCCCAGCAGCCAGCGCCACGCTCCCCAAGCAATATGGGAACTGTGAAGTTATGAAATTGAGGGCACCTTCACTGAGAAATCGATTAGCAAACTGAGAGAGCTTGTGAATTGGATGTCTGGCCATTTTCAGTAATAAATTGTGAAATAGGCCGTGAATAAGTGGTTCATAGAGTTCAGAATTACCCCCTAGGAAATGTTGGAGACCTGGAGATACATTACTGAAGCGAATGGCGTCCTAATGTTCAGTGCTTCGGCTGTTAAATATGTATGTAATCCCTACAGCGCTTCCCCAAATTAATAGTGCTTTATGGCAGCTCTGGAGCTGGTGTGTTTATATCAAGATCCATAGATTGAGCTGATTCATAAACAAAGCACTAATTCCAGAGAGGAAAGCTGAGGAAGAGGCCAGAGAGAGAAGGATTTAAGCACAGGAGCTGTGTGTGCCAACCTGAACTCTATAGGTTGGATGTTTGCTCCATAATGCTGCAAATTGAGCTCCCTGTGCCCTGCTTTGAAACACCTTCAGTTGGAGCCATGTGCTAGCTGCTGTTGGTATCTCATCCTCCCCTTGCCCTCCAGCTTTTTCCTGCCTCCTACCATCTTCTGCCATTTCCATCTGTCCTCTACACATTTCCTACCTCAGGCTCCCCAGCATCCCTTGTCCTTGGTGACTGCCCAAGCCTGATCTCCACCAAAGGCTGTGAAAGTTTGCTCTTTGCTAACTTCACCTCTGCTGAAGAGGCAGAGATCCATAGGGCAAAGCTGGCTGGAAAGCACTTTAATAGGTATTTCTCAATTGTGCTGGTGGCTTGGCACTGCTGGGATTAAAGACACCCAAACCTCCCCATGGCATCTCTAAGAGGAGCAGAAACTCTCTCTGGGTAGCAATAGGGGCCCCTATCCCATCAGCAAAGAGGAAAATGAGATGAACTGGGGAATATTTTGTGATAGGCACCAGCTGTGCATTGCCCCCTCACCCTGTATTTAACCCACCAGCCTCTTGCTTGCTGCAGCTCAGCAAACAACGGGCACTGCAGTGCACATTGGCTGCGTTTCTGCTGCGTGCAACTTGGGGTTGGGTTTGTCCGTCCCCTTCTCTTGGTTCTCACCACTCTTCATTTCCAGAGCATGAAATGGCAATTTTTCTCCCCGAAATCCTACCAAATGGAAAACGATTGGCTGCTCCAAAGAGACAAAATCACATGTTGTGGGGTAACCAAGGCTGCCAATCAGCACCACATCGAGTTAGTCTATTCCCAACATGTCCCATTGCCAGCCCTGCCTGCGGAGCCTGCCCCTTGTGGGACCAGCGCTCACCCTTAACAGGGACTTTTTGCCTTCCCATGCACAGGAAGAGCCCTTTGTCATGTTCCGTAAGTCCGACACGGCTCTGTTTGGGAACGACCGCTTTGAGGGCTACTGCATCGACCTCCTGAAGGAGCTGGCCATCATCCTAGGCTTCACCTACGAGATCCGGCTGGTGGAGGATGGGAAATACGGGGCGCAGGATGAGAAGGGGCAGTGGAATGGAATGATCAAGGAGCTCATTGACCACGTGAGTGAAGCTTGGCTGCAGCATGGGCAGGGGGGGTGGCGGAGCCTGGGGTGTCCCCGAGGTGTCTGCCTGGGGCAGGAGCAGGGTGTACCTGCAGTCACCCCCACAAGGATGCTGCTGCTCTGCCCTGATAAGCACAGGCCAGGGCACAACACCGAGGGGGCTCAGGGACCCCAGGCATGGATCCGGATGGTGTATCCAGATGGATGTGGATGGTGTATCCAGATGGATCTGGATGGTGTATCCAGACTGCAGGTGTGCAGGGCACAGTTTCATATATCTATTTTGTCCTATAAAGGCAGCTTATTTCTGCAATCTCCTGGGACACGGAGCTCCCACTGCAATAGGGCAGCTGTGCTCTTCCTAAAAGGAAAAGCCCATTCTAAAGCCCCTTCTCAAAGCCCATTAAGCACTGGTGAAACTGTTGTGGCAGCTTTGCTCTCACAGACACCCAAAAGTCACCTAGTCTGAAAGCTCGATTCACAGCCAGAGGCTGCTCAGTTTTCTAATTACATCCTTTGCCATCAGCACACCCCGTGATCCCAGAAGCCCCGTTAGGGAGGTGAGGAAAGCTGGTGTCTCCAGGAATCTCTGATTCCCGGAAAGGTCTCTGGAAGAAAAGATCAGGACGAAGTTAAGTGATGATCCCTGCAGCACAGGCAGCCACGTAAGCAGTCCTAGAGCTGTAACACAGTGCTCTTCTCCTGGCCTCCTGCTCAAGTGGTGCAGCCCTTGGATCTCCGCTCAAGCTCCCGCCTCCATGCTGAAAACACTCCTAAGGCAGAAAAGAGACAAAACCAACCCCACGTATGCAGCAGCTGTGATGCTCCCCTGGTTCATGTGGGAACAATGTACTTGCTGGTGCGTCCCAGCAGTGAAGGAGCTTTGCTGGGAGCAGGTAACAGAGCAGCGTCTGGTGGCGAGGCTGCGGAGCTGCGGCTCCGGGATCCAGGTTGTGTTTCCAGATTTGGCTCCTCTGCCCTAAATGACATTGGACAAGTTCCTTCCGTGCAATGCTTGCTCCGTCTGTAAAATGCAGATGATGATGATTACGTCCCTTGTGGGACACAGCGATGCTCAATCAGTTTGTGAAGAGAGCCAGCGTCCTTGGCTGGCTCCCCCTGAGGAGCAGGGAGGGCACGCAAGGACAGCCCTTGGGGAGAAGGACACTGCGCCTCGCAGGGAATACGCCACAGGCTGTGCAAAGCTGCCTTTGTGGTTCTCCTTCCAGAAAGCTCCATGCAGCACAAAACACACCCTTTAGAGCCTCTTACACAACAGCCAGGCTAAGTTAGGTGAGTGACAGCATCCCAGCAGAAGACATTGGTACTTTGCCATTGTAAGTGCTGTGACATGGAGCTGAGCAGATGCAGAGCACAGGATGCAATCATAGAATAGAGTGATAGAATAGTTTGGGTTGGAAAGGACCTTAAGATCATCCAGTTCCAACCCCTCTGCCATGGGCAGGGACACCTCACACTAAACCATGCCACCCAATCCTGGGCAGTGTACTCCAGGACACGGCTCCTGCACCCTCTGCCAGTGCAGGGTCTGTTGCTCTCACTGCAGAGTATCTGCAGAGCAGGGCTCTGAAGAAGTAATTGCTCCAAGCAGGAAATAAGATCTAGGGAATAGAAGCCAGGCCATCATTTGGTCCGAACCATGTCACTTCCAATGTCCTGTGAGATGTTATAGGGCTCTCAGAAGGCTTCCAGCCATTCCCAAAGCTGTGGTCAGCTAAGAGACCCACCAAGAAGAAGGTGTGAGGAACAACCTCACTAAGGAACATGAAACTCGTGGTCAACCTGCAGTGAAGTATTTCTTGGCTAAGTATTCAAAAAGCAAAGTAACATACAGCACCAGCAAAGGACCAAGTCCCCTCCTGTTGCAAGCTTTACTGTAGCAGTAGGTTTGAGCTCTGCTATCTAACAGGTGAATGCCTTGGAGTGATTTACACCCACTGCCCAAACCCCATATAAAGCCATTATTTTCTTTATCTGCATGTCATTGCTTTTTATGGCAGTGTTTATGGAAAGCGTTCAAAAGTGAAACTGCAACCAGATGGGGCCCTTCACAGCAGCAAAGCATCTTCGGATTGTGTGGAGAAAGCAACAACCGATGGCGCTTTGCAATGGCAAAGTTCAAACTTAATTCACACCTAGTAGGAAAAGTGTTGGAGACGGCATTCAAACAACGCTGTAGTGATGAAAACAGGGCTGCCCCCACTGTGAGTTTGATATCAGGGCTGGCCTGCCTCCAGATTCAGTGTCTCTTCCTCATGAAAGGATCAGGATCATTCAGGTGGGAGCATAAAGCAGGAGGGATTTGGGGAGCTCCAGGCAGCCAGGCCAGAATGAATTCTATGCACTAAATCTGTGCATTGGTAAAGACTGAACTCAAATCTGAGGCTGAGCCCACGGGACTGATGAGATGCACCAGCTCTGGTGGGCAGAGCTGATGGGCAGGCTTGGTTCAATGGCCTGTGCATAGGAGAGGCTGCTCCTGAGGGGAAATAAGAGGCTGAAATGGTGATTTGTTATCAGGGGAAGGTCTGAGAGCTGTGGGAGATGCTGTGTACCACAAACAGCCCCAGCCAAGGCTGAAATGCAGTGAAGAGGAGCTGGGTGAAGGTGCTCAGCACACGTGATGGAGGATGAGCTGTTTACTCTGAGCTCTCATGGCTTGTTTTGGAGTCGCTCATCGCTCTGCTTTCCCTCTCCTCTCTGATCCAGACATGCTTGGCCAGAGGCAGGAATGCCGTAGGCGAGGATCCTTTGTAAAACTGCTTTGTTTCTAGTCTGACCTGAAGCATAAACAGGAAAAGCAAAAGCAGTCAGAGCAGCTCACAGCATGACCCCAGCTGCCAGGTCCCTGGCATCAGTGGTGGAGCAGGCAGGCTCGTGTGGTCCCATGCAGAAACCCCATCCTGCTGCCTTTCATCTGCTGCTGGCCTTCATCACAAGAATATCCCTGTCTTGAGGCAGCTCCGTTCGTTCCCTGGAGAACCAGAGTCCTTCCTCACAGCAGCTCCTTGTTTGTTGTCACTCTCCCTGGTCACTCCCACTGAGAAGCCTCGAGCAGATGAACCACAAAAGCTGAACTCGCACAGCACTGGCATGTGGGGGGGTTTGGGGCATTCAGGTGACACAGAGATGCTCCTGTGTCCCACATCAGTAACAAACAGGGAAGCTGGCAACCATCAGCTCTCCTTTCATCCATAGTGAGCTGCTATTGATGTTTATTCATAGACATTATCATTGATACAAGCAGAACTAGGCTGTGAGCAGCAGTCCGTCCAGTCTGATTTATAAAGCCGAGCTGTCTGGCAAAATAGCACCTGCAAATCTCCCCTGTTGTCTGTGGGCAGAATCCCATAAAGGCAGCAGAATGAGCCATTCTGGACATTCTGCACAAACTTGTTCACAAATAAAACTTGTCTTGTGCTGAGACAGTGCATATCAAATTCCCATTCAATCTGAAGCCTCATGTGGGAATAAAAGAGGGATGAAAAATAACAGGGTTTCTAATGGAAATCCCTGCCAATGGTAACTATAGAGAAGATGTAATATCTGTCCTTAGGGAGGGTTTATGACAGTTGATTTAACACCTTCACAATAAGTGGGCATTTATTGACAGTAAATTCTGGCAGAAATACATATTGCATCACATTGCCATTAATGTTCCTGCACTGGTTTATTTCAAGTGAGGTGAACTGGGGATTCATTTGGAAGCCACTGGGCCTGGAACAGGGGAAAAAGAACTTCTCTGGGTGAAGCGTTCTTCGCTTCTGTTTTAGACACTGCAGGAACTCCTGTGAGTGATGGAAGTGAGCATTGGGTGCCCCAAGTTCTCTGCTTGCCTCTTCAGGTGGCTCTGGACCTGCCTTTCCCTCCCCATGGCTTGTTCACCCACCAGTAATTCATAGGACAGGGCTTGTCTCTAAGGATATGACTGTTCTCCCTGGGATCCTGCAGCCTCTGGCATCCCTTAGGCACAATTAATGGCAGTTCCCCTTCTGAAGAACTTCTTGAGAGAAAAGATTACAAGAGGTCATCAAGGTCCTCATTTCTCCTCTTCAGCTTACAGCTCGGTTGTCCCTGTGACATCTGTTCTTAATTCACCACTGATATTAACTAAATTCATTGACAGGAATGATGTCTAAAATAGGAATGAAACTGTAGGAGCAGCCATTAAAAGCTGAAGTCAGACCATTAACAGTGACCCCCGGATGCTGCCGGGCACAACCCTGCTCTCCTCGAGCATCACTTCTCACACTGAGTGTTTTCCTGTCCCTGGCCAGCGGGAGGGGAGGGATGTGGGCACAGGGCACCCAGCACAGCGCTCTGATCCCCTGTCACCCCCCAGTGCTGCAGGATCTGTGCCCATGGGGGTTGGATGAGGGCTCCACTGCAAGGAGAGGTGCGGAAGGATGCAGGAGTGATGCCAGCATGAAGCAGAGCCGTGGGGGTGCAGGAGCATGAGGCAGCACCTGAGCAAGAGGGGCAGAGATGGGCCCTGAGGTGGGGCAGTGGTGAGGGATGACAGTGTTGATGCTGCAACCAGATACCTGAATAACAATTAAATAAGTAAAATATGCACTATTTCTGTCTCTCAGGCAACACACGTGTAATTAGTTTATGTAAATACCTAGCTCAGATTGGCAAAATAAGCGCAGAAGCAGCTTCTTGTCTGGAATCAGTATTGATCTTGGTGCTGATGCTATGGGAGCTCTGCTGTCACACACAGTTTTCCTCTGGTGGAGGCTAGATCCTGCAGGGCTCCCACAGTGACTGTGGCTGTGCAGGAGCTGCTCTGACCCATTCATGTGATAACTGAGAACCTGAAGATAAGACTCGGCACTTCCTGATAAAAACCAAATCTCTGTGCAGAGGATATGATCCCCCATCCACTGAATGCCCGGTAACTCGCATCACTTCCACCCGAGTGAAAATGCTGTAACCCAGGGTGGATAAGGAGATCCAAACCCTTCCAGGTGTGTTAGAGAAGTGTCTGCCTTGGCAAAATTCATCTTTTTGGCCTCAATTCAGCAGAACACTTAAGAACACACATAAGGTGTGCAAGCCCAGTAAAACAGAAGCATGTGCTTAAGTGGTTTTACTGGACAAGGGCCTTTAAGCCTCTGGCACTTGCTATAATTCCTCATTTTAACTAAACCCCATATTCCTGTGCAAGAGCGTAAAAGCTGGGGCTGAGTGAAGGAACCAGTCAGGGCCCGGTAATTGACTTCCCAGTTTGTAATGTCAGAGCACGACAAATGAAAGCTTCGCCCTTGGTGGGGCTTGATTTAGATCCTCTCAGTCAGCAAACCCTTAATTAGAGGCCACCTTCAGAAGAAATCTGCATTGATAAAAGGGTACCGAAGTGCAGCCCTGCATTACCTGTAATAGCTCAGGAGACCACTCCAGCCCGGGCTCCCTAACTCATGCTCCCTTCTGATGGGGTGTGACATTTACTGCCAAGGACACGGGGCTGTGATCAAATCAGAGGAGCTGCTGAAATGACGCAGTCAAATTTGATTGCTGCACTAAAAGCACTTTTGATGCTTGGGCCTCCATGCAGATTCCCCTCTCTTCATTCTCTGTGCTAAAGCATCAACTCCTGGCTGTTAGTTAGCCTGCTCTATCGCTGACAAATGTGGCTTGGGAGCTCTCAGCCAGGCAGCTGCTCGCCGGCACTGACCGCAGCACTGCTCATTTGTGTCCTCCTCCAGAAAAATCCATCGCCAAACCCTTCATTACCTCCTTCGGTTTTCCCTGGTGAGTCAGGACACCCACACAGGAGCGATGGAGGAGCTAAAATCCTGCCTTTTCTTTTGCCATTTCTGCCTTGTGACACACGTGTGCCGTTAACGGGGGGAGAGCAGCCGAGGCATCTGCTGGTACCTAGGATATGGGCTCTGCATCCCACCTCCATCCAGCCTGTGCACTGCAGAACCCATCATCCTGCAGAGTCCATCGGTGCCCCCACAGTCATAGCTGGCACAAAAGGGCTCGTTGGGAAAATACTGTTCCCATTTTCCCTAAGTTTTGGCAAAAGCAGTGATGGAAGCAGACGCTTTTTGCACCAAGCTGGTTTAAGGTGTATTTCCATTGGGGAAGTGAGAGGGAAGGGAACCAACCAGGGCTCAGCCGAGGAACCATGTTACAAAATACACATCACTTTTACCCTTGTGACAGAATTCCTGAAACTCTTTTGTTCAGGACCTTTAAAGCCACATACTTTGGAGAGGAACCCCTTTTCCTGCACACACACACATCTGTAGGGGATAAAAGCTCATAGAGGAACTCCTCCTACAGAAAAAAAGCTCCAATTCCTGTATTTCTAAATATTGCACTAAGTTTCATCACAGATTTGCTGGGTTAAACGAGACCATTCCCTGGCCATCCTCCATAACTCAGGCCATGGATCTTCACTGGTTTCTATAGTGAACCCATAGTTTCTGTTGGAGTAAAGCATGTTTTAGCAAGACAGCTAATATTGACTTAAGGTTTGCAGGTAATGACAAATCCACGGTAGCTCTTGGCAGTTATCACACATGGATAATTGAGAGTGCTAATTTTCAGAACCAGCTGTTCAATAGACCTTGTATGGGAATGCCAGGCAATGGGCGCTGCTCAACTCCAGCATCATTTATGTGCCTGCATTTCCCTGGAAGCCGAAGATACTGAAAAAGGTTTGCAAACCCCAAGCAATGCAGCTGCCACTGAGGTAGCCTTGGTTGTATTTAGTTAAGGTGTTTTTTAAGGACCTGGTGAGAGGAATGAACGCAGCTCTGTACAACAAAGTTAGCCATGGCCTAGCACTGCATTTAGCATAGAAATGATTGAATAACAGACAGAAACAGAAGCCAGACATGAAGTCAGGATGCAGAATGTGTTCAGCTGAAACTCCTCATGCATCTCAGACACTTCCAGCATGACAAGCTGTGAAGTCCATCACTGACCAGCAAAGCATCTCCTCGGTGGGTCTGCAGCCATAGGGACAGAAGGCAGATGGAAGGCCAACAGTGTGAGTTTCCTCCTTCCCACCCTACAGCACGGCTTCCTTTCAAGTTGTACCATGATGTGGACTGAGAGGAAAGAAACTGAAGCTTTTACCCCATGCTGCTGCAGTATTACTCCCTGCAAGTGCATTCTGGAGTGGCCTCCCCCTGGGCCTCTCTCCTCTTGCAGCAGCGTTGAAAGGGAAGTCAACAGAAACAGATCATCTCTGCGAACAGTGGGATGTGCACACAGCAAACCCTGCTGTAAGGAGTTGTGTGGCAAGAAACGAGCACAGCGAGGACCACAGATATCTGATACCATTGAGAAACACAATCCTTCCAACTGTTATAGAAGAGCCCATCAAAATAAGCTCACTGCATCTGGGCAAAAGCTGTGGGGACTGTAATGTGTCTCTGCTGTCTGCGGTGTATTTCACTGGTTACCATCAGACAAACGCCTACACAGTGAATGTCATGGAGCAGAATGAGCAAACAGTTCCTAATGCCTTCCTCCTCTCTCCCTCTTGTTGCACACAGAAAGCTGATCTGGCCGTTGCTCCTCTCACCATCACCCATGTTCGGGAGAAGGCCATAGACTTCTCCAAGCCCTTCATGACACTGGGGGTCAGCATCTTGTACCGCAAGCCCAACGGGACCAACCCCAGCGTGTTCTCCTTCCTCAACCCCCTGTCTCCTGACATCTGGATGTACATCCTCCTCGCCTACCTGGGGGTCAGCTGCGTGCTGTTCGTCATAGCCAGGTAAGGGGATGCACCAAAACCCAAGTGCCACCACACCACATCTCCTGCCATGCCACAAGCTGCCCTCCCCATTCTCAGATCCACTTTGCTGCCTGGTGTGTTAAACCTGGCTTGTTAATGAAATGCCTTTTGGTCCATCACCCAAAGCAGGCTGTGCTCTCAGCCAGGGATGCTCCTAAGTACCAGGCTCCCCTACCCTGTGCTCTTTGGAACCTGCATCTCAGGTGGTTGTAGAGGTGGTGCAAGCTCCATGGTGACAATCAAAGATGAGCTATCCACAGGGGAAATTTGTTTCCATCTTTGCTAGCAAAAGCCTGCTTTCTATCCCTTTTACTGCTTTACCAGACTAAATGCTTGTGTTTGTTTGCTTTATTACCATAAGCCGCTCTCGCTGTGTCAGGGCAGGCAGCTCCACACATTTAACAGACTTCTAGGAGGAAAGAATTTTAAATGCACGCTCTTTTATGGGTTTAGAAATGTTGTTGCCTCTCCATTTCATTAGCACCTCCCTGGCATAATGGAGGGTTATTGTCCTCTTCTCCATCATTCTCGTTCATGCTCCTGTCAGGTCGCTTCTCACCCAGCCTCCACGCTGGGTCCTGCAGCACGTCCGGGTCCTGCCCCTAAACCCTCCACCAGCAAAGCTCCCACAAACCCTTCCCTACATCAAGAGAATGGAGAACCCGTTGCTACAGATCAGACAATGTGTCTGTTTACAAAATTAATACGCATCTAATTAGCATGTTTAAACCCCCTATATTTAAAAGAAGAATTAGCATAGATTTGCATGTGTTATTAATTTCACAGAGCCTTTGATGAGGCGCACAGACCAGGGCTGCTCCCAAGAGCTGATTCCACCTTTTCAAACCAGAACAAAGCCCTCACCTCCCTGGCCATGCACAGCCCTTGCTTAAATACTGTGCCCAAGGAAAGTTCCTAAGGACAACCTCCACTTGGACACTGGTTTCCCCTTTCTTCCAGTTCAAGTTATGCCAGCAATGCCTTCAGAGCCCTCCCTGTTCACCCCACACCTTGGACTGGGCACTATGGGCAGAGCCCAAGGGGCTGCTGTGAGGAGCTTTCCTCAGAGCATTCCTCCAAACCAGCTCCTATCTGATCCACTGACATCACATATTCAAAAAGATTAAATGGAAACTGCAGCAACCAGAATCCATTAACCCTCATGTTAAAACAAATCTGCAATTTTCAGCATCCCTCAGGTCCCCAGCAGCATTTAGAGATGATTTCACTGCGTTAATATCCTAATTACACATAACAGCAGTTGTCAAAGTAAACTCGGCTCAGCAGGAAGCATTAGTGCTCCAAACCACCCAGGATGGCAAAGCCGTCTAACCAAAGGCCAGGTTGGATGGGGCTTGGAGCATCCTGCTCTAGTGGAAGGTGTCCCTGCCCATGGCAGGGGTTGGAACTGGATGAGCTTTATGGTCCTTTCCAACCCAAACCAGGCTGGGATGCTGTGATTTTATAAGAGGACAAGAGCCATGCTGCCATTACCACATCTCTCCAGCTTCCCACCAGCTCTGCCCCACAGACAGCCCCAGCCGGATGCAGGTAGTGCCTGGGACACAGTGACTCTGTATTGCCCCATCTGAAGCCCTGGGAAGACACTGGGGGCCTGCAGGGGGGCAGGATGAGGTGCTCAGCAATTGCTTTGTGTCATAGAAAGAACCAGATGCTCTCAGCAGGAAAAGATCCTCATCTGGGAGAATGAACCCGAGGTAATTACGAAAAGGGAAAATATTGCCATGACTGATAGAACTCCTTCACTTTCTGTCTCTGTTAGCCATGCAGAACACAGCTAGATGGGTTCTGCTGCCATAATGCCTTTGGCTTTAATGCCCTAAAGTATTAGACTGCTTGTGCGGCTTGGAGTGACAATTCAAATACAATTTTACCTTTATGAGCTTATTTTTCCCAAGCCGTATGATGGCCAAATCCAGCTCAAATGGTCCCATTTTGAAAGCATGTTAAATGGGCAAATTGTAGCTGCACATAAAATTCATTGCAGTAAATATGGAGGAAAGGTTGAAGGAAATGAAAACACCTTCTAGACATCACCTTGTACATAATGGGATATCTCTATGCTGTGTTCAGAGAGCAGCCTCGGGCCCTCAAGCACCCAACTGGGTCCCAGCCTCATGTGGCTGATGTTGAGAGATAAAAACCTGAAGAACGTGGGTTTAGTCTCTTGTTTTGTGCTGAAACGACCTGAAACAAACCTCATAATCCCCCTATATCCTAGCAGTTATGATGTAATAAGAGAGGTTTTTCCCTGTCAGGCTATTTTTTGGCTGAAATTGAACCTCCAAGATATTGCAATTACAGGGTTTTGTCACGTTTTGCTCCTGACATTGCCTCTGTCTTCCTCTACTTTCAAAGAACACCAAGTGTTCGGTGTAATTAAGGTTCTGCAAGAATGATCTTTTAACACATGGAGATGGAAAGCAAGAGATTTCATGGGGAAAATACTTACTGCATTCAGAAGTAATGGAAACAGGATCTGCTTCTGACCCCGGCAAGGCCTCTAAAATCCAATTCTCAGAAGAAAACCACAATCAAAATAGCAAAGCCTTAATTCAGAGATGTGAGGCTCCTGAACTAGGCACCAGAGCCCTCTGCTGATGCTATAACCATAGGTCAATGCCACTTAAAACAACTTAGGGACTATTTAGAGTCCAGCAAAGGATGTATTTGATCCATTTCCCCTTTTAATCAGTCTTTCTTAGTTATTGATGGAGCCTCTCCTCGTGCCCCCCCAGTCCCCAAAGAGCCATAAGCGCTTGCAATGTATAAGGCTTCGTGTGGGTAATTTGTCTGGTGAGTGGTTGCAAGTGGACTGTGGAGGGGTTGATGTGAATTGTCACCAGCCTTAGACTGACACAGCCTCCAAAGCAATGCTGATCACCCCTGGGCACCCCACGGGGCAGGGGCTTGAATATTCATCCATAAGGAATTTCCCTGGAGATGCAATTTTTACTCCAAAGTCTTTTGTGTCAGGTCTTTAAAACCTCTTTGAAACGCTCCCATTTCCCTGCCAAAAGGCCAAGAAGAGACGAGAATAAAATCCTGGGGTTTGATGAAATACTTCTCAGCCCCTGTTCCGCACCTGAGGGAAGAGGTGAATCCTGAGCAGCCCCCATTTATTATGGCTCCAGCTGTATGGGGTCAATGAGCCCCGCTCACTCTTTCCTTCATTACCCCTCTGCTTCCACTAATGGCCCTGCTCACTTTCAAGCACTGAAGGCTCTGTCACTGCTTAGTGGCTTTCTCTATAATCTGAGCAGCACCGGTAGGTTTTCACTCAGAGACCTTGAAGTTCTTCCCCGTGTCATCTTGCCAGGCTCATTTGATCTCAGCAATTCCCGCTCCATTTCATATTCCATCATTGGCAGCCCAAGAAAGTTTTCATCTGATTCTCAAGCTCTGGTTTAATTCAACAGCAAAGGCTTTGGTGCCATCCTTCATCCACCCCCTGCATAAATTCAGAGCAGGTTTCAAGGAGCAGGCAGTGTGTAAAGCTCAGCCTGATTCTTGGTTTTCCCTTCTGATTTTCTCTTATTGAAAAACCAGAGGGAGGGGAGCAGTTAAAGGAATAAGGAGGATTTTTGGGGTGCAGCCAGAACAAGGCCTCGGGTCTGCACTCTGGAAGCTCAGAGCAGGCAGTGGCCCCTGCTGCAGGAAGGCACAATAAGAGATGAGGAAAAGAGAGGTCCTTAAACTGTATCTTGTGCAAAATAGAGGCAAACAATGGGACATGAGTACTTAGAATAAGCTTTTTTAAATCAAAAGAAGTCATAGCATGATAAAATCATAGCATCCCAGCCGGTTTGGGTTGGAAGGGACCTTAAAGCTCATCCAGCTCCAACCCCTGCCATGGACAGGGACCCCTTCCACTGGAGCAGCTTGCTCCAAGCCCCTGTGTCCAACCTGGCCTTGAGCACTGCCAGGGATGGGGCAGCCACAGCTTCTCTGGGCACCCTGTGCCAGCGCCTCAGCACCCTCACAGGGATGCAGTCCTGTGTGTTAGACCTCATCCATCTCCCATGGTGGGATGTTGCTGCTCTCTGTCCTGCTTGGTTCAGGTACATGGGGATGGCAGCTCCAAATCCAGCCAACTGTCTGACTGAAGGCGCCATGAGACTGATCCATAAGACTTCTCCTTGGGCAGCAGCACATTTGGCAGAGAATCACACAGAGAAATATCTAATGGAAACTGGGCTGGGCTTTGAGCAAGGGCTGTTGTGAAGCTGCAGGGATTTCAGGAGGAAGCAGAGATGATAATTAATGCCTGGTTCTAAAGCAATTACACCAATTATGTTTTTAATTTAATCTCTGCAAAATTTGGGACTCTTAGAAAATGTAAATAAACAGCTTTAAAAACATTAACGTCTCTCCTGTTGAGCACATCCTGGCTAAGAGAGCTGTGCACAAAGCAGGGGTCAGCATGCCCCCACAGCAGCATCACATGCATTAAGGCTCTTTTGTTCCTGTTCTGTTAGAGTCTTGTCATGCTGCATCCCAACTAACAAGCTCTCGCTTTCCATGTGCCGCCATAGGTTCAGCCCATACGAGTGGTACGACGCCCATCCCTGCAACCCAGGATCGGACATCGTGGAGAACAACTTCACCCTGTTGAACAGCTTCTGGTTTGGGATGGGAGCGCTCATGCAGCAGGGTAAGGTCTGCTCACAGACCCACAGGCAGTGGGTGAAGTGTGGGAGAGGGGAGGCATCTTTCCTCCTGCACCTACTGGCATCCACCATGCAGGACACACTGGGTGCCTGCTGCCCCTGATGCATCGAAGCACCAAAGGGACCTGCTCCCTGAGGGGTCCTGGGGCCTGGGCCAGCAAAGGGCTGATGAGACAATATCTCCTGTGGTTATTGCCTCATTAGCTGTGATCTGTGCTTCAGCAGCTCCTGGTGGCTGCATTTGTTATCAGCCCCTTCCTTTGAACTTCACCTCCATGCAGACACCTCTGCACCCTGCCTGCAACAGGGATGAAGGAACGGAGGGGGATGCGTGCCAAAGCTGAGCCCTGTCTGGAGCACCCCAGGACATGGTCCAGGGGCTTTACGCCAAGAGAACCATCTGGATTTTCCTGTGTCAGAACAAGCTTTTCCTTTAGTCTTTATTTCTGGCACCTGCCTCTATTTGCACTTTCACGTCCTGCGGGGCAGAGCCCCATCCTGCCAGCTCAGACACATCACCAGCCCCATGAGCTGCAGGTGGCTGCCAGCACCCCCGTGCCACCACACAGCAATCATCACCGTTAATGAAGCGTGCACGCTCTGGCAGGTGCCATCTGGAGGCTCCGTGATGGAGCAGCGGCGGGTTCACACGTGTGCTGCTGCTGGGGTGCACAGAGGAGCATCCATGGACCATGCCCTGAGGAGGAGCACTGCCTTCATCATCTCCCTCAGCTGCTTAATTCACCAAACTAGGCAGCATCCCACAGATTCTGTAAATCCCTATTCCTGATAATTCAATTTGTTTAATGTCAGGATCTTTGTCCTGGCTTGCTCTGCTTTAAATGAACTCTTTCAGAAGAGAAGGCATCTTGCCCTCTGGTCTGCCTCCATTTTTATCCTCATCTGATCATTCTGCACACTGTGAAATGGCCTAAAAGCCCCTCCAACACAGGGCAGAGAGGATGGCGAGGAGCTCCTCTGGGCAGCTCAGCCCAGCAGCCACCACGTGCGAGACAGAATGCTTTCTATTCTACTGGTGCACCCATCGACATTGACAGGGACCTTAGAAATGGGATATGGATGGGATTACATTCATATCTGTGGGTGGAATAGAGCAAATGGAATATATAGAGATGGAATGAACAGAGTAAATCAGTTAGGAAGACAGCAGAGGGGGAACTTGCGAGCAGCTCTGAAAGAAGGAATGAAATTCAGCTGTAATCTAATTGTAGAAAATCCAGGAATAGAAATAAGTGGAAAATGTCAAACAATTGTCACACTTTAATTTACCATGTATCAGTAGTTATTCCCAGAGAGCAAAAGAACCCCAGCACTAGCTTGGTGGCATGTGCAGTGCTGCTGCTCCGCGCTCCTCCTGCTGCCGCAGCGGGTAATAGAGATTCTTCCCAGCTCTCACTGCCCTGATGGCCAGTGACAGTTCCCAGCAAGATGGTTTAGCAGGATGAATCACCTTCTTATCAGCAGCTGATAAATGAAAGGAGCTGAATTCCTTTTAACTCTGCTCTGCGTCTAAGAAGAAAAAGATTTCAAAGCTGGACTGATGTCGCACCGCCCGATGCATCAAAGGGCAGGAGATGGAATGGGAAAGAAGCAGGATGTTGAGAAGAACCGAAGCAGGATCTTGAGAACCGAAGCAGCCCTCGGTATCCAAGGCTCCTCTGCTTCCTGGTGCCTCCTTGCTGCACTCAGAGAGGAGAAAAGCCACACTCCATGCTACGCTTTGATGCCTCACTGCTTAAAATGGCTTTGCAAAGTGCAGTCTTTGCTGCAGATTCCAGGTTGGATGTATCCTCTGAACACAGCCATTTCAAACCCAAAGCTCTTTCCTAGCTTTAAAAGGTGTCTTGGGCAATTACGAAAATAGCACAACCCATTTAGTCCTTCACATCTGCTCAGTAAAAGTCATTCCAGACCAGTTACAACTTTTATGCTATAGCATCTCCTGCTTCCCCACTTCTAACTGGCATTCAAAGTACTGGACCCTGATAGTTCCTTCCTCCTGTTTGATTTTGTTTTAAACCTTATGTATTTGAACACACTCCCTGGAGAGAGGCTTTGAAGAGGAATCCATAGGAAAGCAAAGTCCTTTTTAAATGGCACAACAAAACACTCATCAAAGTCCACAAATCACTGGCTATTTAAATCTCATCCAAGCAGCCTGGTTAATCACTTCACTTGGAATATTGCCTGTACATTGGGCACTGCATGAGGGCAGCAGTGAAGGGAAAGGGGTTCTACACAAACCCCACTGATTCCATTGAATGCAACATGTCGGGATCATTTGCCTCAAAACCAGTTGGCTTCAATTGCATAGCTGGTACAGTTCTGACAGTGAAACCTAATCCTTTCTATACACAGATCTATTTATGCAATGTGTATATGTATATATAAAATGGGTTCTTTCTCTCACTGTTACCTCTTTCTTCCTTCTCCTTTTCCCCCTCCCACCCCAGGCTCGGAGCTGATGCCCAAAGCACTGTCTACACGGATCATTGGTGGCATATGGTGGTTCTTCACCCTCATTATCATCTCGTCCTACACGGCCAACCTTGCTGCCTTCCTGACAGTGGAGAGGATGGAGTCCCCCATTGACTCGGCAGATGACTTGGCAAAGCAGACAAAAATAGAGTATGGAGCAGTGAAGGATGGAGCTACCATGACCTTCTTCAAGGTGAGACCAGGCAGATGCAACGCTCCCAGACCAATGGGAGTGAGAATAAAGAACAAAGGACAAAAACCCTCCTAAGCCACCGCTGCTTCTCCTTAGAGGAGGTTGCTTCAGCCTCGCATCCTTGGCAGGACTTTGACAGTTTAGCTCACAGAGGTTCCACAGAGCCCTTGAGGCTGCCCCAACCAGCCTCCAGGGACAGAGGAGACAGCAAATGAAACCTAAAGCTGGCCAGATGTTGCAGTGTACCCTCCCCAACCAGTATTTCTTATAGCTGAAATACCTTTCTTATCCTTCAGGTACTCACATTAGCGTAGTCAAGTTTTATGAACCTCTGAAACTCAGTGCAAGGTAACACCACCGATGCATCAGACCCAAATCACATTAATTTCTTCTCTTTAAAGCATAATTAATTTCAGGAGTCAGCCAACACTGCAGAGGAGGCTGCTAAGAACGTTCATATTTCACTATTGCCTCCAAAATGGAAAGAAACCCAGAGACTTGAAAAGACTTTCAAAACCACAGCTGGCCTGTAAAAACACTTCAGGAAAAAGAGAGAGAATAAAGGAATAGAAATGAGGGTGATTAATCTAAGGGATGATCACGCTGGCTTGGAGGAGAATGTAAATGCATGATGTACTCAAAAAGCTGTGTGCCGAGGCAAGGTTTGGAGTGGGGCTCCCATGGGAGCACAGGCAGAGCTGGGCTGGCTGTAGCACCCATGGATGCCAATGCTCTCCCTGGGGGCTGTGGCAGCAAGGCAAGAGGAGCACTGGCAGAGCAGAGCCTGTAGTGTAGGAATAGGGCTGATCCCTCCCCTGCTCATCCTAATGCAGAAGGAAATATATGGGCCAGAGCGTGGCAAAGAGTTCATGCTTTAAAAAGCAGGTTGTGCCTGGAATAGTGCAGTGATTTGAATAGAGCCAGTGTAAGGCAGCGAGACGGGGCCGTCAGCAGTTTAATTGCCAAGACTCGTTAAAGGAAACCCATGTGCTGAATTTTAATAACCAGGAACAGCAGTGTTCTTCTGCAGCTTCTCTTGGTTAAGGAGCCACTGTGCTCCCTGAACCTCCACTCTGAGAGGCAGCAATGCAGGTTGATGAGGAAACATGGAGGATATGATTTGGTTTGAGCCACGATTCATGCTGGGAAATGACAACGTGGCTCTGAATAGCAAGTTCCTGCAGGTCACTTTGCTTTCTGCAGTGGAGCTGGTGCATGCGGTTTTGTCTTTGGCATGGTCAGGTGCGTTGTGTTCCGTCCAAAAGCAATAGAAACCTACAACAGCTCTCAGGAAAGACAGGCTTTTACTGATGTGTTTTAACTGCTCGTTCCAATCAGAGTTTTATATGGGAATAAAAGGAAACAGCCTTTTTTAGAAATCATCAAGGACATAGTATATTTACTGCTTCATATCATTATCCATCAGAATCATTCCTCAGGCTTCTAATGGGCATCTGGCAGGGTTTACTGATGCAGTGTGTTTGCCTTTTCCTTTTATTATCCGTGTTGTTTGGAGATGAATCCTCAGGGATGTCCCTTCTGAGAAGCGTTTTGACTGGTGGAGCAGTGAGAGCATCATGCAGGATGTTCACTGGTCCCCATGCACAGAGGGATACAGGGGAGGCTGAATTCCTCCCACCCCTCAACAAGGTCTTTGCCAAATGGCCGGGCTGCGTTACAGCAGCTCTGCAGTGCCACCTTCATGGGGACATTCTCGAACAGCACAAAGCTCTGGGGGAGAGAGCAACGAGCATCCCAATGTCTGCTGAGGATCCGCATCTCCTTGGATGGGTGGGATCAAAGGAATGGCAAACAAGGCTTCACATCACCTCCCTCTGCTCTGCTAAAGAGGGGGTTACCAGCATAGAGAGAGCCCCACAGCTCCTGGAGCTCTGGAGGTCCAGCACTCCCTCCATTTGGTGAACAGACTCACTGCTGGGACAAGAGGCTGATGGCAGCATCCTAACTGGGATCTCACCTCTTTTGTGGCCTACGCACTAGGACTTCATCCAGATTGCTGCCTTATTCCTTGTGGGGCTGTTCTGCAAAGTGGTCCCCCTCACATTAAGAATTCACTCCTCTGCTTCTGCATGTTAAAGAGGCTGCAAACGACATAAACAGATTCCCCCCAAGTCATGGCCCCTTCATCTGTGCCTGCAGCTCTGCACATCACTGCCTTCAGCCAGACCCCACCTGGGTCTGTAGCTCCCCCCCAGCACATGGAGGTCTAACAAAGCAGGACCTTGGGCTGCACAGGGAAAGCACCATCCCAGAAATCATCCTGGGGAGCAGTAGGAAACAGGAGGAAGGAGGCAAATGCCTTGCACGCCATTCCCTGAGCTGATTCCAAACGTACACCAACAGTAGTGGGAGATTTTGACGTCCTGAAAAGAGCCTCAAAGAAGCTATTTGTTCTATTTATTCCCTGGCAAGGCAGATCGAGGTACAGGAATAAACCCAGATCAATTAATTTAGGAAGAGCATCAAGTGTTCATTATAAATCAACCAGAACTCCATCCCATCTTGCAGTGGGTGCTGTCTCTCTGAACAAATGCTGGGTTTAATGTGCAGTGTGGAATACGGGTGTGGAAGTGTGTGTGTGTGTGTACATATATATTCACTTGTACAGAAATGTTAAATCCTCAACAGTAAGTATCTTCAGTTGCTGAAAATCAATTTATTTTTTCATACAGGCTGGAATTGAAAATCTTAAGCCTGAAAGTTACTTTCTTGCCAATTTTGCTGATAAAAAAGCGTATATGTCTTGGCAAGATGCCTTCTAGTGGCTCCTCTAAACTATTCCATTAATTTATTTGGGTGACTGGTCTTGAAGCATTGGTTATTAAAGGCCGCTTCTGAGCTGTGACTCTAAAGAATGAATTCAGAGACGCTCTCAGTGTCATTGCAGTTGCTGCATTCGGAGGGGCTGGTACTCAGCTTTTCATACGTGCATCTCATTTAGCACTAACGCAGGGGTTTAGCCAGAGGACAGAGGATCAGATTCTGATGTTATTTATCCTGACCAACACAAGGAGAGGCTCCGCTCCTATGAAGTGGTGGGAGAGGTGTAAATGGGAGGCAAGACTCCATGGGGTGAGCCGTGATCTACCACCTTTATCAGCAATAATCTCCATCATCCCATACAAAGACCTGTAGGGACAGGACAAGGGGAATGGCTTTAACCTGCCAGAGGGGAGATTGAGAGGAGATCTTAAGAAGTTCTTCTTCTTCTTAAGTTGCAAAATCAAAAGTCAGCAAAATATATGCTCAAAGGAGTCCAGCAAACCAGACCCAATTTATGTGCATTCTTTATGGATTATTAAATCACTGCTAAGATGGTTTTGTGTATTCCTATGGCACGTCCTCAGGTGATGTCACGTGAATTCCCATAAACAAGCAACCACTTCTGCAGTGTGGCTGAAGTGCTCCAGGAGGAGGAAGGGGAGGAAGGAACGTTTCCCCTGATAGGGAATGCACAGTGGTTGAGGTAGGCTGGAGGAGGAGCACCCAGCGCTTGGCAGTCCTTGACTGGTGACAGCCCTCGCAGTGACTGACAGTTGCTGCTGGATTGGACTGGAGCAAATAGCCCAGTCTATCAACCTGCGGGTGCTGTGCTGAGAGTCACAGCGGGGGCATTTCCACTTGGAAAAGGAGTGTTCTTATCTCGTGTTAGCGAAGGGAAAGGCACTAATAGGAAATGAATTCCCAGGGAGGAAGTGGCAGGTTTTAGACTACGGGGACAACCTGAGATTGCTTTGATTGGAGCCATGCTTTGAGCTGCTCCAGGGGCCTGACCTGCCCTCCCTGCAGGAGCCACCCCTACCTTATCTCTGGGAAGATGAGGCTGCTGCCATCAGCAGCACTGTGCTGCTGGGATGCTGCTGAGGGGCTCAGCCCCGTGTTGGCAGCTCTCTGCTGCACCAGGCATGAGCAAGCAGCTCTGGGCCAGGCATGCTCCAGCCAGAGAGGGTCCTTGCCCCACCATGGGTGCCCCCATCCCCTGGCCTTCCTCCTGGCTCCTCCTGCAACTTCAAAACACAATTAAGTCCTTTCAGCTGGTCAAAAGCAGTGATTTAAGAAGAGAAGAGAAAAGTGGTTTTTCTCTTCCAGGGAGCGCTGTCTGATGTAATTTAAGTTGCCCGAAGAGCTACAATGCCTCATGCAAGTCCTATTAGCTTCACTAAATGCAGCCTATTGATTTTTTGCCAGTTTATTTTGCTCTATGCTTTAAACTGGAGAACACTGATGTTGTTTAAGAGCTCTGTGTCAACACCCAAGGAGCATTAAATGCAGGAAGAGCAGGAGAGAAAGGGAGAGCCAGTGAACCCAGAGGCCTTTGATGTGAACTATATAAATGTTAAACAAGTCTTATCAGCAAGCTGAGTGTGCCATTCATTTCAATTACCCATTGTAATGCACAGATATTTAATAATCCTTTTGGAGGCTACATCTCTTGCTGCTCTTTGAGGTTTGATAGATGCCACAAATCTATCTTACAGGCACTGGTCCAGCTTTTCAAGTAAGGGAGATTATCCTGCCTCTTGAATGAAGTTTGCTCCAGCACATCCACTCCTGCACATTCATCAAGTGGATTATAACATGAGGTTTAACTGAGAAGAAATGAGTCCATGGATATTTCAGTCAGGAGTCCACAGGGTTAAACACAGAGGAACAGCCTTTGCCACTGTGCTACCAAAGCAGCTTTGGGGGTGTGAAGCTTTTGCTTAACTTGAAGAAGCTGAATAGAAGGAAGTGGACAGGCAAAGCATTTGAAATAGAAAGCTTTACAAGGGACGTTTTCCTTAGCTAATTTAGCCTTATGCACAGTGGTTTTGCTGGTACATTTTGGGTGATATTGCAAAAATAAGGGGGAAACAGGACAGCAGCAGTTGGGATGGGCTGGGGCTCCATCTCCTGCTTTCTTAGGGAAGGACAGAGACCTGAAAGGAGATAAAGCTTCTGCTGTAGCAACTCCCCTGCAGCTGCAGGTGAGCAGTTACCCTTAGTCAAGGCAAAGCACAAAGACTTTTCAACCCCTCCAACTTATCAGCCAGCTTCAGGCTCTTGCTCAGCAGTGCCGGGGAGGAGGAGGAGGTTTTGGCTGACTAAGCTGCCTCCTGTAGAATAAGAAGGCAAGAAGAGATGTAGGAAAAACAAGAAGTTAGGCAGAAAGGAACGGCACATAAAGGGGCAGACAGCAGCGTGAACACAAGCCTCAACCTCCCACTGCTTTTCCAGAGCTCAGCTGAATGCATGGAGCTGGTGTGATGAGCCTATGGGAACACAGGGACCAGTGAAGGGGAGCCTTCAAGAGAGCTGCTGGGCCTCCCTGGGGACTCTTTCTAGTCTAAACCCAGTCATGCCTTTAGTAACAACCTACCCAGGGACAGCTCAGGAGCTGGTTGTAGATAAATGATGTATGTCAAATATCATGGAAAGACATAGAATAACCATGTTTCTTCTCACCCAACATACTTTGTAAAAGAAGAAAACAACATTACCATGAACAGGAAGCTAGAAAACACCTTCCTCCTATTTTACCAGCATGCCTGCTGATAGTGAAAGAATATCCCTGTTTATTCTTAGCCGTAAGACAATCTTCTTGAATCCTTCTCCGCCTCTGTTTATGTGGTATGTTAAATTCATTTGGCAGTTGCACATATCTCAGAGGAGACATGTTTCCTTGCAATGCTTGAGGAAAGACAAAAATACAATAGAGCGTGTGCGAAAGAGGAAAACATGCCCTCTGAAATGTTCCCTGTCTCCTCTCATTGTGCAGAAACAGGATAAACAAAATCCTGCTTAGGAAGCTAATACATTTAAAGAGATGTGCTGATAGCCTGTCACACGAGCAAGTTCTGAGGGCATCAAGGCAAGGTTTCCCACACCACACTGAAGTGAATGAGGAGTTCAGTTCCAGCTCCAGGATAAGGGCTCAGGAGCAGGGCTGCTTTATGTTGAGTGTGTGCACAACAGGCAGAGGGCTGAACCTTTGCCTCCTGTTATAGCAACACAAAGCCAAATAATGCTGGGCATGAAAGCAGAGAGATAGTTAAGAGGAGGTCAAACTGGTCCTAGTTCCACAGTGCAATCTGTTCTCAGACTGGTATTTGTTAGTATTACTTCCCGACGAGCTACCAGGGTTCAGCAAACACAAGATTAATTCTTATTTTGGGGATGGGGGGGGTGTCATTTTTCCAGAAATCCAAAATTTCCACATTTGAAAAAATGTGGGCTTTCATGAGCAGCAAACCCACGGCACTTGTCAAAAACAACGAGGAAGGGATCCAGCGAACCCTCACGGCGGATTACGCTCTGCTCATGGAGTCGACCACCATCGAGTACATCACCCAGAGGAACTGCAACCTCACTCAGATCGGGGGGCTCATCGACACCAAAGGCTACGGCATTGGGACTCCCATGGGTAAGTGACAGCCATGGGGTTCTGTAGGTACCCGGGGGGGAGCTCATTGCCATGAATACAACAGATATGACTAAAAAAATCCACTCCCAACAGCAAATTCCCAAACACTAAAGCTTATATTGCCTACTGAAGAGAGGCCTGAATGGCCCTGCTTAACCCAGACACATTCCCTACTCTGTGTGTGGTTTTGTCCTACTTTCCCTCTGTGTGTAATGGTGCTCCCCCTCCCCAGGGTCACCGTACAGGGACAAGATCACCATTGCCATCCTCCAGCTCCAGGAGGAGGACAAGCTCCATGTAATGAAGGAGAAGTGGTGGCGGGGGAACGGCTGCCCTGAGGATGAGAACAAGGAGGCCAGTGCCCTGGGCATCCAGAACATCGGTGGGATTTTCATCGTGCTGGCAGCAGGACTGGTGCTGTCCATCTTCGTGGCCATGGTGGAGTTCATCTACAAGCTGCGCAAAACGGCGGAGCGAGAGCAGGTACCGGTTTCCTCCCTTTCCCTGCACCCCTGTTAGCTGCAGTACCTACATTAGTCAGCATCTGTAGGGTCATTCTGAGCCAGCCAACACAGAACTCAGGAAAACACAGACAATTCCCCGGGAAGGACCTTTCTGAGCTGTTAAATCCAATTGCATTGCACATTCCAGGTGTAACACGTACAGTGCAGGAAGTCTCCATCTCTTCTCCCCCCTCAAGGAACCGGTCAGGGTCCACCAGGAAGCCCTATGCTATCTTATCAACTTGTCACAACACTTACACAGCCAGCCCATCCCACCCACAGTGCCTGATTAGTGCTGCTGAAATGGGAGAACTGCTTTCATGGGTTTCCCTCTTGCCTGTCATGGTACAGTAAGTGGAAAAGTGCATTTGTGTGCATGAGCAGAAATCAAAGCAAGCTGCCCACGTGACGGGCCAGATAGATGAAGGAAAACTGCCCGCTAGCAAGCCCAGCAGGATCTGACAGCCCTCTGAATCCCAGCACATAAATCCCCCAAGCCCCCAGCAGGGATCACAGGCACTCCCGGTGCTCCAGCTCTGCCTTTCTGCAGGGTTTAGTGCGTCAAAGGCACTAAAGGGCTTTGGCACTCACCAAAGGAGACAGGGGTCAACCTGATTGACATCCCTGAAGTCCCGCTAAGCACAGCTGATGCCTTAAACGCAGCCTAAACCTCGCGCTTGCCCTCTGCAGAGCCCAGTTTCAGATGCTCCCGCTCCCGGTGGGATTAGCAGGATGCTGTGCCAGGAATAACGGTGGGTTTTGTCCCCGCTCTCCCCAGCGCTCCTTCTGCAGCGCCGTGGCCGATGAGATCCGGCTGTCCCTCACGTGCCAGCGGCGGGTCAAGCACAAGCCCCAGGCACCCGTCATGGTGAAGACGGACGCCGTGATCAACATGCACACGTTCAACGACCGACGGCTGCCAGGGAAGGACAACATGACCTGCAACACTGGACTGACACCCGTGTTTCCCTAGGGAATGGGAACGGGGGGGTGGGAGGGAAGGCAGTGCAGCAGACAAGGCTGGATGCGCTCTAAGTGGGGAAGAAAGGATTAAAAACAAAACAAGAAAAACCCAGAAAATTCAGTTAAAAAGCCTGGTTTGGTTCATTTCAAGAACAAGGTCTTCACCACGCAGCTGCATCCGTCACCGGAGAGAAGCAAGAGCTTCGAAGCACGGACTGGAACGTGGGTCTTGGGGCTTTTTGGGTTTGGTTTTGTTCTTTTTCGTTCTTTTTGTTTTCCATGCTTAGATCCTCCAGGCCTCGCGGAGCCCGACCACGCCACCACGCATCACCCATCACCCCGGAGTCTGATGTTTACATACTGCAAACACACGGAGGCAAAACGGAATTGAGCCAAACTGCCCCTCAGTGGGTAAGGAGGAGCCCCCAGCAAGGCTTCTTTAGCATGGCAATAAAAAGAACCACTCTGATAGGTGCAGCGTGAGCAGCCGTCTGTGCGAGCATCTATTCCACACTGTCACACAGCACACTTAGGATCTGTTGGCCAGGAAAGGGAAAGGTGTCTGGGAAGCACCGTGATGGTCAAGGCATCTTCTCTTGAAGCAGCTCATGGTGGTGGCCCTTTGCCTCAGGGCTGACCATCTGCATGGGGATGCGGTGGGAGAAGACAACGCACACGTTCATCACTCGATCCAAGGGAGCTGACTGCAAAGGGGCGAGTAAGCCTGAATGGAGCCGAACCCCTGGCCAGGGATGGGACAGCGCGGGAGCTGCTGCCATCTCCAAGTGACAGCAGCCATATACCCCCCATCCAGCGTGGCACCGTGATTGCCAGGTCCTCAGCTCCTTCACTCTTCCCACAAAGCTCACTCCTTCCTACAAAGAAGCATGGGAAGCAGCTGAGTCCACAGGATTCAGCAGCAGCAGGAGCAGAGCCAAACAGCATCGATTTCACACTCGGACCAGGAGAGGACTGTGCATCTGGTTGAGGACTAAACGCTCCCCATGGTATGAGACACCTGAAAGACCAAGCCTCAGGCTGCAGGGCTTGGGACAAGCAGCACTGTGTGAGCCAAACCTGACCCCCTCTCGCTGTGCCCAGTGAGCAGCAGCCCCACAGGCAGCATCTCCATGTGATTTAAGCAAATGCACACTAAAATGCTTTCAAGAAACCTTCCAGGGACTGTGTTCTTGACCCAGGTCCTGCAGCTGAATTTGGCCACAACTACCAAAGACCCCTCTTCTGACCTAAAGTAATGCTCAAGTAGCTTCACTCGGCTCCATCCCTCCATGGGGAGCCAGTGGGACTCACTGCAGATGCATTTGCAAATTGGAACAGCAATGGCTTTGCCTGTTGCCACCCAAAACATCACACAAAGTATCATAAAGGTGCTTAAAAGCTCTGATTTCAACACTGGTAGTGAAGCAAACAGCAACCTCCCCACCTAAACCTTGGGTTGGAGGGAAGAGAGAGCAGCAATGGAGCATCCCTTGCATGATCTCTGCATCCCAAACCATTGTCCTCGGAGCTCTGAGGTGCTGAAGTGACCCACTTTGCCCTCCCCTACCTGCAAAGCCCGCCTGGAAAGTTCATCCTCGCCCAAAGGAACAAACCTGTTTATAGCTGATTTCAGGCTGGTTTTTCCCCACCTCTTTCTATTTCAGGCTGTTAGAAAATTATCTGTGGAGCTGATCAGAGTTAGCTCAAGGGGAGATAGCTGCTCCCCCGCCCCACCGCAGAGCAGCATTTGTCCTCATTTCACTCTTTCTGTGATGAAAAGCAGCAGCATAGTGACCCGAAACAAAAAAAAAGGTAATGTGTCAAATTTTGACTTAAGATATGCAAAAAAAATATGTTAATTCTCACCTTTTCATGGAAACCATGAAGAATTAGGGGTGAAAGCTGCCAACTCCATGGGCATCCTCATCTTAATAGCTTGCTGACCAGATACCTATGGCAGAGCACAGACTGGGAGTCTGGGTCTGCTTCCCAAGGCTAATGACACTGCTTCCGTATTTCTCTGCAACTCCCTACGCTTGGCAAAGGAGGAGATTTGATGTTTTCTTTGCAGATTTCTCAGCTCTTAGGAAGAGATTTTTACAATTAAGGCAAAGAGAAAAACAAGCCTGAAATAGGCTTTAAATGTCCAGAGAGCAAAGTAGCACAGAAAACAGCCTTGGTTTTGCTTTCTGGGAGATGATTTTAAAATGAACATGTATTACTGATACCATAAACCCCATTTATCCATCTTTGACACCAGTTTGATTTGATTTGACTCACAAACATCCCAGAGTGAGAGGTGAGCATCTAGAGTCATGGGTGCTATCTGCCAGCAAGACCAAACCATGCAGATGAACCTTTTCCCTTCCCTCTCTCCACTGCCCATGAATCAGCTGTGAAATTTCAGCTAACATCATGCACCTGCATTATGGGTTCATGTTTAAATCTATGTCATTAAAGCACTTGATATTTAACAGCAAGAAAGTGTTCTGCACCACTGGGAGCAGCGTTGGACCTGGGGGGGCTGCCTGGACCCCAGCCCAAGGGGGCCCCTGGCTCCTGCTCACTGTGAACTATTGGGAGGAGGGATGGTTCCGGACCTCATCCTTCCTGCTGGGACCCCGAGCAGCTTCACCCCATCCTGGGTTAATTCACCTTCTGTTGCACTGCTTAGCATAGGCCGGAGTCTCTCCTGTTGTTCCCATTTTCCCTGTTGCTCCTTGCCTTCATCCCGGGAGCCCAAAAGCCATGCGGTGCTTAAACACAGAGGAGGAGCGATGAGACTCACGCTTAGCAGTGACACCTTGGGAGACTTCCAAAGGGGCAGAGCTGATGACAAAGCCTCAAAGCCTCCTGTGAGCTGTTCTGTGAGCTGTTTGTGACTATCTGCGACTCATGTCCTAGGAATCATCTGACTTCCAACTCCGTTTAAATCAGCTCCTTTCTTCACTAGGGCAGAGGGACTGAAAAGTGAGGAGGAAATAAAGAAAAACCAGGTTTGGGCTATTAAACTGCATCTAAACTGTTGTCACCTCGGTTCACTGTCCCTTTATCACTTGCTTTTCCCTTCCAGCTCTCCTGTGAGACAGAGCAGGGGCACAATGTGTAGCTTTGGGGTTGCTTTTCCATTTGGAGTTAAGCAACAGCGCGTGTCGGGTCTGATGTCGGGATGATCCACAAAGAGAAGGAATATGCAAAGGGGACCCAGCTCCAGCTCTGGGCAACCACAGCTCCCCCTCAGCGGGTGGTTCTGCAGAGCAGGATGCGGCCGGGCACCTTCCATGTCTCTGGAAGGTCAGCACAAAGGGACCTTGGAGATCCCAGCAGGATCACCGTGTGGACATCGACCATGCACAGCCAGGGGGAGCGGGGACCGCAGCATCCCCGTGGTGCTTGGGGCTGCTCCTAGGCACTGGTATCACCAGTCCTCTGCTGTCTGTACCTTCCTTTGACATGGTTCTCATTGAAAAAACAGACAAAAAAAATAGAAAAAGAAAAAAAAAAAGGCAGAAAAGAGTCGGAAAAAGGAAAAAAAGTCTCCGTGACATTCAGGGGATTTTCCTTTGTGGACATGCAGAATTTCTATGAATATAGTTTTTTGTAAACATTTTGTAACAATTTTGGTTTCATAGTAACTGTGTTACTTGCTGATCATTCGAGTCTGATGTAAATAAGATTTCCAAAAAAAAAAACAAAACAAAAGAAAAAGAAGAAATGGCGATTATTTTCCTTTTTAAGACACTGTGAGATATCAAAGTGCACAGTTTGCTGTATGAAGTAATATGGTTTTAAATTTTAAATAAAAAATTATTTCTAGAAAACAACAAAGTTTCTGCCTGTTTGTATTCAACACCTCCCTCCCTGTTGAAATGCTACACCCAAACCCAAGCTGTTCACTGACATCCTCCATGCTCCTTATTCCCCCTTGTCCTGTCCCTACATCCCTTGTCCCAAGCCCCTCTCCAGGTTTCCCGCAGCCCCTTTAGGCACTGGAGCTGCTCTAAGGTCTCCCCTTCAGGAGCCTTCTCTTCTCCAGGCTGACCCAGCCCAGCTCTCTCAGCCTGGCTCCAGAGCAGAGCTGCTCCATCCCCTGGATCATCTTCATCGCCTCTTCCATAAGGGCCCTATGTCAGAGGGAGGCTCGGGTGCTGTAACCCTCCCTGAGCTCGTATCCCTATGGAAAGTTTCATATCAGACAATCCATTAAGCCCAGACAGCCCATGAGGAGCTGGCTGCAGAATCACTCTCCACAATGGTTTGCCTGGAGGCTGCGTGTGCTCCTCATGACAGAAAGGTGCCTGAGCCTCAGACCCTTCAACAAGACTGCAGGACCCGAGCAGGCTTCAAGGTCCATAAACCCTCTGTTTACCCGCTCTGCCTGTCCATGCGAGTCAAAAACCTTATCAAGCCTGATACAAGCTGAAAGCACCCTAAAGGCCAATGTTTATTAGTCTGAAATCTTTATGACTCTGCTTTATTGTATTGAGGCAGAAAATGCCTGTGGTTTCCGGGATGGGAATGATGAGAGCGGTTGGAGCTGGGCCATTCGAGGCGGTGATAAAACACCCTTTTAAGCAGAGGCACAACCCTGCAGCCCCACGCTCCAAAGCCATTTCCCATCCACTGGAACTTAAACAATTCCTTCCCATTTTAATTCGTTGTAAGGGTCACCTCTCCTAAATCTTTCTCATCTCTATTCACTCAGGCCCTTTGGGAAACAGCAGCTTTGATTCTCCTTCCGAGCAGGGACTTGGAGAGCAGAGCCTAGTCTCACTTCCATACTACAAATGCTGATCAATATGCAGGGAACATGTCAAAAAGAAGGGGAATAAAGGTAAAAGCAAGTGTTGCTTTCGCAAAGCTTCTTCTACATTGTTTAGAATGGGGCCTGTTTCTGGGAACAAAACCACTTTCCATGTGCCAAGGGGCACAGCAAGGGAACGGCTGCTCCTGCCCTCAAGGAGCAGGACAGGGCAGCACCGGCTGACCCTGCGCAGCAGTGGGGGGAATTGTCAACATAAATCCTTATCACCAATACCACAAGGCAGCAATTAACCTTGTCAGTCAATGGATCACCCTTCCCCGAGTGCGAGCCGCCCACCCCAAACCTGCCAATCAAGCCACAAATGCATTATTAATCAGACAACAGAGATCGGTTCCCTTTGAGCATCGATGAGTCCCGCTGGGCAGAAGAGGGAGAAAAGTAGGAACCGGTGAGAGCAGCAATATCCAACCCACCCGTTCTCCCACCCCCCTGTTCCACCCAGGCACCTTTGGACATTTCAGATTCTCAGCTCAGCAGAGGGAATGATTTTTACCTTGTTTTTCTTCCAGCAAAATCCCATTTTCCAGCAGTAATTGTACATTTGCGCGGGTGTTTTCCTGACCCTGGATGGCAGAGCTCTGATGCAGCCCTGCGCTGCTCACAGGGATGGAACAGCCAATACAGACCCCACACCTCCTCCTCTGCACCTGACAGCTACAGATACAGCTTTTCCTGCTCCCCCAAACCCAACCAAATAAAGCTTTGTCACTCAGGGAGGACTTGGGCAAGTTTGAACCTAAAGCAAACGCACCTCATTTCCTTCATGGAGATTTGGGGATGGCACAGAGAGAATGAGGGCATCAGGAGGTGCAGCTTCTCCTCTAACATAGTGGGTTTATCAGATTGAGAGATGGCCATTCCATCTCAGAGGAGCTGGGTATGCATTGGCAACAGACAGGCTGAGAGCAAGCATGGAAACAGGGAGCTGTAACTGCATCCAGGAGAACAACTTTCCACTTGGAAAAGCTGTTGTCTTTCAGAAGCTCGAGGAGACTTTTGGAAATGGCATTTAAATGGTTGAGGGTCACATCAGTGCCTGAGAAGTTGTGCTCACAGGGAGATGGGGAACACACAGGGATGGTCTTTACAACACAGGAGAGCACC